TGTGTGAATTGCGTAGCGACGCATGATCCTCATCGATCACAAAAGGTTTGGATCCAAGCAGACTAACTCTATATTTGACGGGGAGCATACTATATTAAAAGAAAGTCCTTGTAATGGACTGGGTATTTTGTTTCAGCAGCTTTGAGCCGTCGAGACTCAAACGTGATGACGCGCTCTCAACCCTCAAGATGTGTTTGTAACAGATCATAGCCAATGGCAAAGTCAGACACGTCACAGACAACACTAAAGAGACGCGCAGGATCTAGCAGAGTCAATTCCGGGGCCCGGAGGAGGCTTTGTCTAACAGATTCAAATCATCGTTTTGTGTGCTAGTCCTGCACCATTCCATATCCGTATAAAGGAAATTGATAATGGCCGAGCCATGTCTGCGTAATTCGCACTGTACTTGTGCAAGTAATTGGTAAGGACGATTCACACGCGTGAGTCCTTTAGCTCTTAGAAAATCGCCAGTCGACTATGGATTTGACTTTAGCGCTAGCTCTCGTAAACCTATCCTTATTAATGAATTATCGTGAAAAGGAAATCCTCAGCGCCAATATGCATTTAGATTCATTATTACAGAGCTTGTTTGTGCGCATGTATGAAAGCTGATCGTAAATGATCAATATGGTTGTCAATGTCAGACCGACCATTTGAAGCACGACTATGAACAAAAATATCATAAAATAACGTCTTTTCATAGCATCGATGAGGTCTGGAGAATTGCGTCACGAGACGATCTAATGTGGCCGGGCATTGGACAGCCCTTGGTGCTTAACAGGTCACTCCCTAAGCATGTCACGTGGGGAGCTGACCGCAGTTTGAAGGATATCGCTGGCTCTTATGTGCAATTGGTAATAATCGTCGACAAGATTAAGTTCCTGACCTGGAGCATCAAAGCATGGCGTTTTAAAGCACATCGTTTCTAGGAATAGGTGCTCGAGCCGGTATGGTGACAGCATTAAGCTTATTTTGAGCATGAGCAATGCGCCACTTGCCATTCGGCTTATTAACACAAAAGGTGGGTGTATAATGGGGAGACTTACTCTACAGTACCATTCTTGCCGCATGCTTAGCATAAAAGAAGTCGTCAATGACGTCACACTGTTTCTTTGGCAATGGACACTGCCGTGTAGTGCAGAATTCAGGTCCAGGAACTAGATCATTTTTCATGACGAGCAACTCGATTAGGGGGCAATACCAACGGTAAATTATTAAGTGCTACGTCCCAAAATACTATAATTAAAGGGTAGAAGAGATCCATGGAATTTTTATGGATCGCAGATCCACTCCTGGCAGCGAGTGCTATTAAGGACAGACAGACTCATCCATGAGTGACCAAAAGGTTAGCTCAGGCCCAGGGCAGATGACCTCAAAATCGGATAAGTCGACTGCCTTCAAGGCTTGACTAAACTCAACATCAAACAATTCGCCTAGCTAAAACAGAGCATCAAAAGACTGGAACGCCTTAAGGCTTCGTGGATAGCTTTAGAGCTATCATCCACGTGACCAGTCACTCCATTGAAAAGTGTATACAGTTTATCATAATATTATCAATATGCAACGACAAGAACGCTTTGCGTTTCGAAGGTGCTGTCTGAAGTACCGGTCGTCTCGTTGATGAGACCTAACACCTCAAAGAGATCGGGATAGGGGTATCCCCTGCTTTTTTGCTAACCGTTACGTGTTCTATACATGAGCTGATGTCCCGATCGACATCTGGTAAGGAATTTGTTTACTCTAATGCTTCACTCAGCGGGTTTATACTCGCCACTCCACGCACATCACATAATATTTGCTCGACATGTCTCGGCCTTGGGTCATTCATGCTTGCAGCATTTAGTGGTTTGCTATCACTATGAGCATCACACAACGGAATAGAAGTCACGTCAACGTCTATCGATGAGTCTAACTTGGGACCTACGTCATGGACATGTTTGGTGTCATGTAACTCTGGCGAACCGTTGCACAGTACACTATCCAACCCTGTCAGGGGCTCGAATCAATATCGCTTATGTTGCCTTGCCGAGGTGGGCTCATGACTTTTATAAATCTCCGCTAGGAGTCGTGTGCGTTACGCTTAATGTATCATATCGCCAACCAATACATGACTCATGGCGTTCCAACCAGGCCATCCCTCGAATGAGATCAAATATCGTGTCTTATTCAATGACTAAGCAGTGTTCCAATCTACCAAATTCCCAAACTTTGAGCCTAAATTTATGGCAATCTTTGGCAACGTGACACACGTTTCCGTCTCCAGGCGAACGTTGATAGTCTCAATCGCATGCGCTTTAGCGCTCCGGCAGACCGCGGACTCCCTTCCAGGGATAGACGGCGAGCATGATTGATTGATGCCCAAAATCAATAAAAATATTTTAGGGTTTAGTAAATTCGTTTACTGTTGCTTCAACCACAAGCAATCCCGACTTGCAAACACGCTCCGTGTATAGAGCACAGAGCTCTGTAAGGCTAAGCCCTGTTTCAATCTGCCTCGTAGAGAAGTGACAGCACCCAGTTCATATCCAGTAGAGCACCCAGCATCTACCGGGAACTGACGTTTTACGTGCCTTACTAGATTTCTGGCTGTTCGCAGAACTACGACTTATGTGAGCCTGGCGCAGCTTGCGCAATGGGCATCCAAGACGTAAATGCTTAGTGCTTCCGCACGTATAGAAACGACCGATAACGCGTGGTTGTTTAGCGACCTAACGCTTAGGTTCATCTTCACTTTCACCCTCAGCATTGCTGAGGTCCGCGAGATTGGGCCTAGAAGACAATGAAGTGCTCATGGATCTGGCTCTGGTAGAGCTCGGGTTGTACCTATTTTCACCCAGCTTAGTAAGCTTAAGTTATGGTCCGCATTACGCGCTATTTCAACCGCAGATTCCACGGCAGTAGGGTGGACTTGAGAGATTCCAGTTCTGTAAGGGCCAGGGTGAAGTCATTCCATGAACACATTTACATGGGCTACCTCTGGGAGAAGATCGCTCTGCATACCAGCAATGAGTGTTATCAGCTCTTGAAAGTAGTCCGACAACTCATTCTTGCACTGACGGGTAGAGAAGAAGCGTGATCGCACGCGGTATACTTGGTCAGTCAGCATAATAGTGCGAATAAGGTAAAGCTTAATGATGTTTTATGCAGTGAAGGCGTCATAAATGAACGCGCCGCTCGTGAGTGCCCACTCCCTCGCCCTACCAGCGATCTCGTTTATCGTCACCGCGACCCTCTGATACTCATTTCGTTTCATACCCGACCTATGGGCGATCTCTACCTCACGGATCCAGAGGATGAGGTTCTCCTCCTCTTTACCGGAGTAGGGGTCATGTCCAGCTCGACTGGTTGAGGCCTAGGCCCATCGTCTGGTATAGACACACAGCGTGTGGACATAGACGAACCTATTTGGGTTTATACCTGCCCAATTAGGGTCAATTATATACTGCATGAAGGTTTCGACACGTGGTTTTAGCACATTGGGACCTTGTGCAGCGAGGAACTCCACATACTCAGGCCCGGCGGCCGCGGTAAGCTTATCAAGCGCGACCATTTGAGCCTCAGTGAGTGGCGTGGATTTTTCCATCCTCACATAGAACCGTCTTGACAGATTCAGGCGTAGATTGACTACAAAGGCTACCAAGTGTAGCGGAGCTGCTCAGCTTTTGAAGTTAAAAGAAGATTGTAACGCTCCACGAGCAACTTTCGGTTAAAAAAAACCGACTCAGCGCGTCAACAAGCTCAAAGAGCTTACGGTCCCTGTTCCAAGGGACCAAACAATTTAGAGAATCACAGAACAGAGTGCTCAAAAGTAGTTGCCTTAACAAGGCGTTTGCTAACTCTTTACGATCGCAAGACGCCTCAGGAAGGCACGTGCCGTAAGAGGATCAAAAGGGGAACTGAACTCTATTTGTTTTATCTAAAAGAACAGTTCAGACTAAACGAACTTAATATCGACACTACTGTTCTAATCAATACCTTTTTAAAAGATCTCGTATTTGGTGGCTGACATACGTCAGCCCCCAGCAACTGATATGGTGTTCAAATACCATCTTCAATGGGATTTCGTCCCTGGTGTAAACCACACATGTTGTGTAACCCCGTTACAGTTTGCTCAACGATCAATGCTCACCTGTACTTGTCTTTTTGCACTTATGTGTTGACTCGATGCGCTTGCAAGTCAACTGCTTTCAGTGACACTTTTTTTCGAGTTGCCAAACTTGTTTCCTTATTCCTTACGTGATTCTTGTTGATGTTGATGTTACCGTCTCAATTTCCCACGATAAGGTTCGGTTCTGAATGTTTCTTGGAGCACACACCAACGTGAACACAATGTGTTGATGGAGCTAGAAAGCACTCCCATGCATCAAAAGTCATGAGAAGGGAAAGGCGTTAGCGCTAGTCTACCCGACAAAGTGGCGTACGTCAGTCTACACACAGAGGAGCGAACAACATACCGCCGGTACAAGTCTTCGCATAGAGCGACAAGAAAAGCAGACGATCAACTGAATACGTGTGCACGTCTAGTTTGAGAAGTCACGACGGTGGCAGGTTGATCTTATGCCATCTTCTGCCGGTCGGACATCCTGGTCCGACCAGTTTTCGGATGTTTGCGTGAGAGACGAGTCGATTACGCGTCGAGCATGACGAAGCGACTGACGCATGCGCAAAACACCTGACAACGTACTTCCCAAACGCTAAATGCCACTCGTGTTTACCGGTCAACGTCTTGTGTACGAAGAGAGAGAGAGAGAGAGAGAGAGAGAGAGAGAGAGAGAGAGAGAGAGAGAGAGAGAGAGAGAGAGAGAGAGAGAGAGAGATGATAAGAGAAGATAAGGCAAACACTCTTCTGGTCGGACGAGCAGCACCTGTCGTGTTTAGCTTTGCACGTACCGTTACAGAAATAAGCATCACGGCGGCAGAGCCCGTCGTTTCGGAACCCTATTACACGTACGTTGCACGTCAGTCCGTCGTCGACACGCTTCAGTATCCCTTCGTCCGACATGGCCGCGACTCGCTCGGTGCTCGATGCGCTGGCAGCGGAAAAGATAGAAGCGGCGACGGCAGGTGCAAAACGGACGCGCGCGCGTTCGTTCGAGTCCCTTGTGCTGTCGAGTCACGAGCGCTTGTGCAGTGCCGAAACGTCGCAGCACAGTGCCGAGCTCGACGAGGCGTGGAGCGCCCGGAGCAATCCGAGCGTCAGTAGTGGCACCAGCAGCATTCGCGAGCGGCATCGCCAGGCGATTGCGAGCGCGTTCTTTGGCTCGAGGTCGAACGTCACGGAGGCGATTGTCGAGAGTCCGCGGACGCCCAGTGGGGGTCGAGGGCGACGTCGGCAACGGCAGAGCAGGTGTCGTCGTGTGGACGGCAGACGAGAGAAACAGTTCCTGCGCCGGTTCTTTCGACCGCGACGAGCGTCCGAGTCCGCGCTCGCGGTCGTTCATGTCGAAGCACGTGCTCTTCCGGCGGAACACGTGAGGCGAGTGAAGACACAGGTGTCGGTACCGCTCGACTCGATAGAGAGAGACGAGGAGCGGTGGCAGCGGCGAGAGAACCGCTTGTTGTTTGACGAGTTGGTGCACCTGGCAAACACGCACCAGCCGGTTGAGTTTGGCCGGTTCAAGCAGCGGCGGTCGTTGCGAGGCAGTAGTCGCGTCGAGCGTCGCAGTGGGATGTCGAGCGGGCAGTTGCAGCGGTCCGCGATGGCTGAAGCGCTGGACGTGGGGGTTTCGTGCTCGACGTCGAGTCGTCAAGCGGCAGGGAGTGAGGAGAGCAGGTACGACGGCGACGCGAGGATCAACACGGAACTGCTGGAAGCGTACATTGCCTACTCCAAGTCCATTGGGCATGAGCCGAAGCTTCAGCTGCATCCAGACATGCTGCCGCTCGAGCCTCGCGATGCTTTGGACGAGGAGGTCCATGACGAGGAGGGGGACAAGGAACGACAGCACGTCCGTAGGGCATCGTTTATCCACGGCCGGCCCGTGCTCACCGAACAGCAGCACTTCTGGACGGGGTTCTTGGGAACGCGGTACAGCAAACGTCGAGGCTGTGTGCAGTTTTGGACGTGGCTGCTCATCGGCGTCGGTGTGCTCTTGTGGCTCGGCATCTCGCTGTCTTCGCTCGAGATGAACGAAGTGCTGCATCTCGACGCCTTTACGCTCCAAGACGTCCACGTGACGGACGACTATGCGTTCCTCCACTTTCTCGACGAAGTGGACTTCCACCTCACGTACACGATCGAGACGCCATTGCCAAGCAACTCGACTGCCCGTCGCAGTGCGCTGTCGTTCAATGCGCTGCTGCTGCTCGAAGACGAGTACGAGCACTACATTCGAGGCGAAGCGTTCACGTACGTCGACGCCGGCACGACCTTACGCACGACGTCTGCGCATTTGTCGCTCACGTTGATCGACAACCCGCTGCAGGAGCGCATGTACTTTGTGTTGCAGCCGTGTGTCCTCGCGCGCAATCCATCGGCCGACTACTGTCAAGCAGCTCGACTGCCAACGAGTGTTTACTCGCGTGAAAAGATCTACGAGCTGCCGAAGCAGTCGACGCTGGCCACGCAAGTGCACGACGCGCGCTTCGTTGCCACGTACGTGTACGTGAACCCGATTCCCGTGGCCTGCAGTTCGTCCGGGTGGCTCGGCGGCACGTACTTGCTGCTGTTCCTGCCGTACGTCGTCATCACGCTGTTCGGCCTCCGGGGGTTCCAAATGCTCGTGCACTGCGAGAGCTGGCAGCAGAACCTCGAGCGCAACTACGCGCGCGAGTTGCAGACGCCCGAGCACGAAGTGGACTACTGGCAGCCCATGCCGTGGGACCGGAAGGTCGCCAAGACGCGCTTGTGCGGCCCCTGCTGCTGGACAAAGTTCCGCCGGCCGCTCGAGCCCTTCCACACGTGGTGGCGGCACGAGAACTACTTCACGTGGGTCTTTTGCCCCTACCGCAACGAACAGCTCTCGCGGGGCGAGCGCGCGCTGATCGTCGTGTGCTCGCTGTACATTACGTTCTACGTGCTGTTTATTATTGTCATGCTGCGGGACTCGTGGGGCACGGACATGACGCTCTTTACGTCCGTCGTACTCTACGCCATCTTGCTCGCCATCCTCCCGCCAGCAGGCAAAGCCGTGTTCAAAGAGCTCTTCAAGCTCATTTTTCGCCAACGGCGCAAGTACTTTCGAGCCAAAGCTACTGCAACGGCAACTGCAACTATACCTGCTACGGGTGGCCCCCTTCAGGGCTTTTCGTTCCGCTTGGCGTTCGTGCTGCAGTTCCTCGTCGTGCTGTTGCTCACGCTCGCGCAGGGGCCCATCTTTTACATATGGACGTTCCGAAGCTGCTTGTTCCTGAAGCAGTTCATGTGGTTTGGGGCGCTGGCGGCCATCATGCGCATGTCGCTCGTGGCGCTCGCGCTCGACTTGATGTGGTACCTCATCATTCAGACGTGGGGCTGGAAGGACCTGTGTCCGTATTGCACCGAGCGCATCAAGCACTGCGACTGCTTCAACGACGAGCTGCTCGTCCTTGCGGTCGAGCGCGTGGGTCCCAAGTGGCAGCTCATTCGCGTGCTCGACGACCTCATGGCCAAGCAGTGCCACTACGACCCGCAGTTTGAGCTCTATACGGCCGAACAGCTCCGTGAGCGCTGGGACGTGCTCGTAGACCGCGCGAAGTCACACATGGCGAAGATTGAGAAACTACGTGCGTACCAGGAGAACAAACGGCTCGAGAGGTTGCGGTACGACCGCGTGCGACGCAGTGTCACGAGTTTCCTCTCGTTTCGTGGCGGGGCAGCGCTGTCGCATCGGTCGGGGTCCGAACTGCACGTGCAGAGCAATCGCATGTCGTGCAACGACATGAGCGTCGCAAGTGGCAGCGAAGACGCACTGCACGAGGGACACGTCGGGGCGGCGGCAATGGCGATGGACGTTCAGGTGTGCAGTCTCCGCGAGCAGAAGATACTGGCGCTGACGAACGACATCAAGTTGGACAAGTTTGAAAAGCACTACGACTCGAACATCTCGAGTGTCTTTCACGTGCTCACGTGTTCGGTGCAGATATTGCGTCGACAGGGGAAGCACGAGGTCAAGACCCGACGGTTATTGAAGGAGCGAAGTTACGTGCACAACAGAGAGGACGAGGACGAGGCGGTGTCGAGTGGCAATAATAATGAGGAGGAAGAGGAAGAGGAAGCGGAGGGAGACGATGAGGCGGTTCGAGGATCGCGATCGGAGACTGGCGGCGCTTCTAGTGGTCGTGGCACTATTGGCGAGACCATGTGGGTGCTGGATACACCGGCCCAGCGTCTCGAGCGACGGGAAGAAGAGAAGCTGCGGCGCAAGCAGGCGTTCCGCGTCTTGAACAAGTACAAGATCGAGAGCGTGGACCACAATACGTCCGAGCCACGCGACATGTTGTCGCCGATCCGCTCGCGCCACAGCGCTGTGTCTGCTCTGTCGAATGGACGTTCGTCGCCCATGATGAGCCACGGGAGACAGCAGCACGAGGCAATGATGCGGCCGTTGCTGCTACCGAGCGACGTGCCGACTTCGCTGCCACGGGAGACGTTGGTGACGCTCGTGCTGGAAAAGGAACCGGGCGAGCAGGGTGAGGACGTGGAAAGGGGACAGTACGACGAAAGGATAGCGACGGGCGGCCTCAACGTCAGTGACACGAACGATAACGACGGCGACGCGTACTTGAGCGACGTCGAGCGAGGCATTCCCCACGCAGCTCTTGACCACAGACCCCCGCCGTCCAGCAGGACGTGTGTGTACTCTGTGACGGAGCGGCCGCAGACTCTGTTGCGACGGCTCTCTGCTTCGGCCTCAGTGTTCACTGCCTGGGCGCTCAATTACGACCCGGACGTGGACTACTGAACCCGTCATCTACGTCTGCTTCGTCCACTACAAAAGGTGACGTCACCTGTACCATATACACCACCACGTCCGACCATGTAGCAACCACACGACAGATACACAAGTGCAGTCATTCTGATCTTGGGATTCCACCAATCGTTCTTTGGTCCACTTATTCGTTAAAACCGCAGCTACAAACCACGCTACCGAATACCTCCACCATCCGGTCTCGGAGAAAAAACCGTGCGACCCAACCAGCTGTTTCACCACCGACATTGCTTCCGCACGCGACCATCACTCGTGCTGTTGTGCCATCGTACTCGAACCTTCACTCTTACTGACGCAATCATTCAGGTTCGATCGTGATCGCTCACTTCACGAGCCACCGACAGTCGGTGACGCAGAGCTTATCTGGCGCGCTGACGCATTTTTCGGCGTTTGCGACGCAGACGACGCATGCGTTTCTTGCGCCACTTGGCGCGCATGCCGCCGGGCACAGACAGCAGCATCTTGAGCGTGTCGCACTCGCCGACCGCGTAGTCAGCAAGCGAGCCGCTTGTCAGCTGCTTGCCGGCGCAGACCAGTCGGAAGTCCGGGATGTACTCCACGTCCTCGACCGCCTGCATGACCGATGCAACAGAGGCGTCCGCCGCCACGCTCAGCGTGAGCGGGGAGCCCGACAGTGTCTCCACAAAGAGCTGCATCTTTCTTCCCTCCTGGATGCTCAGATGCCTAGAGTCACCAAACACACATGGCGTCAGTACGCTGTATACAGCACAGGCAGATAGAGCGCGCTTTTGGGCTGTCGTATAGGGGCTGTCCGTACACACGATGCAACACGAGAGGGGTACACGTACCCAGAACGATGTTCCCAGCAGAGCAGTCAGCAGAAAGTGAGATCTGGCGGCCGTGTCGGTCCAGAGCTCCTCGTCGATATCAATAGCTGGCCACGAGCTTGTCAGCAAGATTAGACCTGCACTTTGTATGGTGCAGAGTTCGCATCTTGTTTATTCACCGCGTTTTCCAACAGGACAAGGGGTGATACGCAAGTGTCTAATTGGCTGGAATGAACTGCAGACAACGTCAGGGAGTTTGCTGACCAGGTACATGTAAGTTACATAGTTCGATGTGTCCCACATCGTATCGATCTCTTCTTCCACTTTGCTTCACATGACAGCTGCAAACGTGTAACTGCAAAATAAATTTATCGCCTACCACAACCGACCGGAAAAAGAAGTCCTCAGTTCTTCTACTAGCCTCACAAAACACTCGATGACTAAGTTCAGCAATGTGAAACTCGCCGCGATCGTCTCGATAACTGCATGACAAGCTTTTGCCGAGAACGGTACCTACGCCTCGTACGACGTCTTCCATCTTCTGATCGAGAATGCCTCCATCTATCAGTGGCAAGTGCTACTGTATCTGATTCGAAAGAGATCGGCCACACTACTAATCCTGCACAATGTGACTTCGTTCGGCTGCAATAGTGCGTCTTCCTACACCAGGTGTAAAGCACCACTACTCGAGCAAGAGCTGCCATCTCGACATAAATGCATGCACTCCACCCTTTCTGCTGATAGTTGATTGCTTACTGCAGCATGGAGTCATCTTGCATCGTCACATCTTGACCAATCTGACACACCACAAGTACGGCAAAGTAGCAGGAGAGGAAAAGGAGAGGAGGAGGAGTGCGAATTGTTTTCGACAAGCTCAGTCCTATCGAGCACAACGCTACTGAGCTTGTCAATCGGTGTCCGCTACGGCTTATGTCGGTCACATAAGCTGCTTTAATCACGAACAAAACCCATTGCGTGTTTGCTGAAGTTGCTATTCAATGAACGTGTGGCAAATATACAAACGTTACCAATTATCCCCTTTCCATGCTTTCGAAACAGGTAAATTACGAAATATCCACGTGCCATCCCGCCGAAACCCAAATTATATCCGCAAAACATCCACATCGACTATCCACCGTCTACTAACAAACGACCGCTGGTATCCCAATTCAACACAAACAATTGTCGACACGAGTCATGTCCGTGCCACCGTCGCCGCCTGCTTTGACTCTCCCCCACGATGCAGCGCTGACCTCTCTCTCCAGTCCGTCACCGGCCACGCCGTCCACATCGTACCATCACGTCTCAGTAGCGCTCTACCGTCGCAAAAAGCGGTCGCACCCTCGCAGGAAATCGCACAACCGGACGGATCTTTCCAGCAGCTCTGACATTCGCCAAACCAGAAAACCGATCCGAAATTCCCAATTGTGTCATTCCAAGAGCTCTTCACATACTTCAGAAGGCAGTACCGTTGATGCAACTCAAGACAAACAATCAGCTGCTGAACAGGAGCTACCGGTAACCAGATTGCTCGAAGCCGTACCGTCGAAGCTCCGAGTTCAGACCGAGTTCCCAACTAATTCAAGCTCACCACTACTATCTCCATGCGAAAGTTCGACTGTAAAAAAACGGTCGCGATACCCGTTAGGACCTGGAGAGGCAGACGAGCAATCAAAGAACATGCGGCTTCCTCCATCGTCCCCACGAATACCTCCAGCAGCTACCAGCTTTTCCTCGAACCCACCTGTCCCTCATTTGTTTCGGCTGTCGGACTTTTTCTACAAGGAGATCTTTGGCGTGCATGATATCAAACAGAGCGATGGCGTGCACCAAGAACGCGTGCAAAACTTCTTTGTCGTGCCAGTGAATACCGAGCAGCTCTTTCTCTTTGGCGTGCTGCTGGCACTCGATAGTTTTCTCTACGTGTTTACGTACATGCCATTGCGGATCCTATTTGCCTGTGGCTGTGCCGTGACATCGGGTTTCCACACCCGGATCTTCCGACGTACGCACTTTTATGACTTGATGGTGGCCGTGATCATGGCAGTCGGGACAACCGTGCTGGGATACGTGGACATGTCGAGGGTGTACCACGCCATTCGTGGCCAAGCGATGATCAAGCTCTACGTGCTGTTCACGATGATCGAGATCTTTGACCGCTTGTTCTCATCCTTTGGACAGGACGTGCTTGACTCGCTGTATTACACAGCCAAGTACCATCCCCGCCGGGTCACGCGCATGTTTTTGGCCTTTAGCGTGGCAATCGTCTATGTGGTCCTCCACTCGCTGCTGCTATTTGCCCAAGTCGTGACGCTCAACGTTGCTGTCAATTCAAGCAACACGTCTCTGCTCACGCTCCTCATTTCCAACAATTTCGCCGAGCTCAAGAGTTCAGTGTTCAAGAAGTTTGAAGAACAGAACCTGTTTCAGATCAGCTGCAGCGATATTGTCGAGCGCTTCAAGCTTCTCACTATTATCGGGCTTATTCTGCTGCAGTCGTCCACTGCAGATGTCGCCTGGGGGACGGTAAGACGCGTTGACATGTGCGACATGTGTGTCTCTTTCATTGCTCGGGTCTTTTGCTTAGGTTCGACGTGGTGTGTCTGATGCTTGCTTTGTTCACGCAGGCTATGGTTTGGGTGGCTGAGATGCTGATCGATTGGATCAAGCATGCCTTCATCACCAAGTTCAATCAGATACCACCCACGATGTACTCCAAGTTCATCACAATTCTCTGTCGTGACCTCACGGGCTGGAAAAGCGAAGACACAATCCTCGACCATACGCACCACGTGTCCAAACGCTTGGGTCTAATGTCGCTGCCTTTGGCATGTGTGGTGCTGCGCATGCTGTCAAAAGCTCTAGCAGACGCGCCAATTGAGCTGACGTCACTTAGCGGCATCTTGATCACGGTGGTGTTTTTCATGTGTCTCGCAGCGTTCAAAGCGCTACTGAGCCTTGTGTTGATGATCTACGCTTGCAAATCAGGCCGCTTGGATGACACTCGTCCGAAAAGTCCGCGGTCCGCTCGCCATCTCGAGTCCATCCATCAGTACAAGTTTTAGGCAGCAGAGGCTGGATACGCTTTTTTCGCGTGGCCCAAGAGTACGAAGTCGAGAGTAATCAATCATCGACACTATGCAGACTCTTTGCTCATCGCTACCAGCAGGTTGTGTCGCATTCACTGGGTACATCCAGGAAAACGCCCCAAACTTCTCCATGACGATGATGGATACTATCGCATGTGTAGGTCAGTGCATATGACGTCTAGTGAGGCTGCCCGCGTAGCATGTTATCGACGTGACAAGCGTCGAGAAGGCACTACGGGTTGTCAACTCGAGAGGCGTGTGGCCGCTGTTCTACGATAAGATGGCTTGTTGTCGTCGACCTGGCCGACCGGCGTGCAAACTTGACATGTTACGACAAACAGGACACTTGACGGATAGATAATAGCCTGACGTCATTCCGAAGATGTCGACACGAACAGGAGACACTCGATCGGCACTAGTCCAAAGTGTACAATGAGAACGCATCACTCGCACAGTAGCGCAATCCCTGTTAGGAAACCTCTCGCGATCTCTGATCTCGTTGCCGGTCAGTCTCTATCCATTCGGCTCCATCCAGCAAAAGATCGGCAAAAGCGCGTCTATTGACCATATCATCGAACTGCAACGGGGACGTGGTATCCATTAGCGGGCGGGACGTTTGTAGTACGGAGAAAAGACCGGCGAGTTGCCGTGACGTTCGACTGGCATCGGAAGATCGTCTGACTGCCCGCTGTCCGAGGGAGTAGTGCCAAACACGTGGGAAAGAGCCATACTGGAAACTGCTCGTGCGACACGTCGACGGCATTGAACTGGGCAGGAGCGCAACAATCTTCAATGCAAGGCACATGTCGCGACAATGGCGTGCGCCACTGAGCGTATCCGCTTGGAGCTGTGCAGCTTCCGAGCAGGAGCAGCAGCGTGGGCGCACTCTATCGTGACCAGAGATCAGTGCCACTACTGAGAGAGAGAGAGAAGGACCGGTACGTCTTGTCAGTGTATCCTCAGGCAAGACACGTGACAAACAGTCCCCTCGTCTACCGTGCACATAAACATCGACACGAGGCACCACCACGTCGGCAGACTGAACGTGCATATAGGGTGCAGCTGCAGCGGGTTGCCCAGCTACACTGCAACACGCCAACCGACATGACGGTATGGCTGACCAACTTGTAGCTCGCAAACGAATTGCTGACAAAGGCTCGGCTCTCGATCGACCGTGCGATCAGTTATGCCCCCGTGATGCTTCGCTTGCCACTGCTGGCCGAAAAGCTGAGTCGGTGCATGTGATACAGTGCGATGCTGTGCCTGTCGGTGTGGAGCCCCTTCAACTGCAAGACAGTCAAGCGAGAGAGAAGTGCAAGCCGTGCGCTGGCCACGAGGCGGCCTCGATCCAAGTGACTGTCAAGAAGCTGTCGATATGCATCGCCCCGCACGTCGAACCGAGGCAGTCGTAAACCAGCAGTCGACGCATCTTCTGGTCATCGAACGCGTCCGTCGCTTGGCCGTCATATCAGTGCTACTGTATCTCCTCCAGTCGCTCTTCGACACGAACGACTTGTCGCCCTCGGGCGTGTTCCACGAGTCGACAGACGTGCACTGTGCCTCGCGACGGAATGCTGTCGTCATGTAGTCGAGAGGGAATGGGCGTTCCGTTACAAAGCGCCATCGCATAACGCCCCGACGTGGCCGGCGTGACCTCCACAGCAACAACAACAACAACAACAACAGCAACAACAACAGCAACAACAACAACACCACCACCACCAACCGCAACGACCGACCATCCCAGGGAGCCAGACCCCTAGTGTTACTTCAGCACGAGACGAACCGGAAGCTACGATGGGCCACGCACTGGCTCTCACAACGAGCGCGCGCGCGCGCTGTCCAGTCAGACGCGCAAAAGCGACTTTTGCAGCATGTCGCAGCTCGCTCGCCATCAGCCCCCGTCCGGTCAGCCAGTGTACCCATGGCCTTCGACAGGCGCGTGCGCGCGTGCGTGTCCCGTTTCTGTCCGATTCGGCCCTCAACAAGACGACCAGATGGCTTTTCTCTCGGCCACGGTGGCTCGTCTGTGTCTGCGACCGAGACTCGCGTCACTGTGAACGGGCTCACTCTGCGATTCCACCGCTCGCAGTAAGATACACGCGCACGTGTACAACAAACGCGCGTTGCATTGGACGACGAGTGTGTGTTTTGGCCTCTAGACAAACACCACTCGAGTCGGAAGACAAACAAACCGTCCGTCAACGTCGTCCGTCGGTCGTGGCCCACGTCTACGACGGCACTTTTATCGACCTCTATCTATCAATCAATCTCTCTCTCTCTCTCTGTCTATCTATTCTATTGTATTAAGAACAACGCCGGCCGTCGCTCGCCTTCAAGTTGCTCGGTCCTGACGCTATAGCGAGCAACTACAACACGACACGTTCGCGATGCTCGAGTTCCCGCTGCACGATGGCTTTTTTCCTCAAATCGCTCTCTCGCGCGAGGAAGTCAAGTACTACAAGCGACTGGGCAAAGAGCGCGTGACGCAACTGATCCGGATCATCGAGGACGCCGACTGTGCGTACAAGTGGACAAGTACCGCGAGAGATCGCCGCCGCCACCGATCGCGTCTGCCCGGTCGTGCTCGTCGCAGTTTCGAGTCGACAGACGACGTTGCGGTCGTGTGCGAACGGGCCAACTTTCTCGACTTTCAGCCCACGAACAAAGCAGCGCAGGCGTCGACGTTACTGAAAGCCAGTGTCCAAGTCTCGGACATGCAGGTCGACGAGATCTTACGCGCCGTGGCCAAAGTCAAGACGAAAGAGTTCCGGAAAACCATGCGGTACATGCACGAAGACGGGTTTGTCGATGGCCGGACGCTGTTTACGTTTCCGCGTGAAAGTGTCCGACCAATGCGAAACGGCTCCAGTGCGTCCTGTTTGTCGTATCGTGCGATCAAATGGCACGCGCTGCGAACCCAGCGGCGGCGCCATGGCGAAGAGGAGAAAAAAGTGGATTTCTGCTTTTTAGAGTACGCAGGCAAGAAAAAACCTCACCCGGGCTCGAACGTCGTGGGCTTTAGCATTCAGGAATCCATCTCGCGCGATCGAGAAGTCCCGACGTTGGAGAATTTCGGGATCGCACGTGGCTATTTATCGAGAATGGGTATCATTGTGTCGAAAACGCATCAAGCGAATACGTTCAAAGTGACGTCTATCTGTCAGATTGATGGCGACTTGAACCCAATTGTTCGGGGCGTGTTGGAGGAATTGATGGAAAAGACCGTTGGCGTTGTTGCTCGAATTCCAGGACTTGTGGCGCGACAGCGCGTAAGTAGTTTGCGGTTTGTCGAGCAGTGGCAATGGGTACCGAATTCCGATCGCAAAGCGTGTGCCGTGTGTCTTCGCGGGTTTTACTTTCGTCGGAAACACCACTGTCGAACGTGTGGCGAAGTCGTTTGCTCGTCCTGTGCTTTGCTGCGGGAGCTGGAAGAGCCGATCTTTGACATTGCCCATCTCCGTGTTTGTTCCGCGTGCATGACAAGCGCTGGCGCTCGACAACAAGAACAGCAGTTGTCCGTGCAGGGTGTCTCTGGCACTGGTGGCTCGCCACCTGTCTCGGGCACGTCAAACGACACCGAGTCGTACATTCGTGGCTTACGTAGTCCGCAGCACAATTCATACGAAGATATGGTGTTCCGCATGCGGGAATCGCGGGACCGAGATCGCCGACAGAGTGACCTCTCTGGCGTTGTCCTCGAGACGGACACGGAGCTCAAGCCAGCGAGTCCTCTGCGAAAGATTGGTGCGAGTCCTGAATTGCGGGCGCAAGACAAGATGCAAGCTCTTACTGACGTTGTTACGCGCATTCGTGAGGTACGTGACACGATCAACCTGACCATGTCAGAAGCAGCCTACGGACAGCGGCAGGATGACGAGAATAGCGACGAGTTTGAGGAATTCAACGACATGTACAGCGAGATCACGAGCATTCAAGAAGCACTGGAGAGTTCCGTGTCGAACTATGATACCGCACTGGCTAACGCAACGAATGCGGTACCAGCGATGTATTACTCTGGGCCGAGCACTCGTAGTCAGGATGATGGCATCAGCGAACAGGACAAAGAGCATGACATGACGGCGAACCAGTTTGAGTCGGTGGCTCGCATTACGTTTGCAGCAGCTCGAGCTACGAAACAGGCTGGCCAAGCTTTCTTGTCCGTTGGAGAGCACCAAAGTCTGCCACGTGACGAGCTCAAGAGCAAAAGCATTCACGTGAAACTCGACAGCGACGCAGTATCAGCCAGCTCGGCTTCCGTAGCAAGCTATCCGACCTTATCGGACAGCTTTAACAGCTCTGGTGGCCACAGCATCGACCCATACTCAGCATCGAACTACGAGAAAATCATGGCAACTTATGAGCCCGAGCAAGATGGGTCCGAGCACGAATACGACGACAACGGGCACTCTTCGTACAACTTTGCCGACTCGGTCCGCCGTGTTACGGAGATCCATGAGCTGGAAAAGAAGATACTGGACTTGCAGCGTAGCCTGGAGGAAGCCCAGAGAAAGCTCTCGGTCATTGATGAGCCAGAATCCGAAGTACGTCTACGCCAGCAACGGGATGCTGCACGTGACCGCTCCACACAAAGTGAGCTGGCGAGTGTCTTTGAGCGTATTAGTGACCGGGACGATGGAAAAGGCCGTACAATGCTTGGCGAGACAGCCTCGTCCGAGTCACCGAGCCCCATCGCAATGGCATCACCGACGAAAGCGATACGATCGAGAGGCCTCACGACGCAAGACTTGGTATCCGAGCTAAGGGGTGTGATGGCTTCCATCGATACTCCTGTTCGTGATAACGGCGAACCACGACAATCGGGTTTGAGACCATCGACCCGTCTGTTGTCTCCACCGGGTGCCATGACCTCAACGAGCTTCCGAAAGCTGCCTTTTGGACTGTCCTCCCCGATTGCTACGAGCAAGACGGACTCATCGCCACAAGACAGTACTTGTCATTCCGCAACGATGTCATCAAAGCCGAAAGCAAGACCAGGCCATGGAGATTTGAACATCAGTCGTGGCAGCATCAAGAAGAACCGCCATGGACGATCGTCTGGATCGAATCGACCTTCTGCAGCACCTACCGAGGGCTCGTACTTGCAAGCTCTTGGAACAACGCGTGGTACCCGATTTGGATGCGACGATGACGACGATGATGAGTTTGCTTCGTTATCTTCGGACGAAGAAAGTTACGAAGCTTGTTCGGACGACATGTCGTTGCTCAGCAGTGACGATTACAGGGAAGCTCAGTTGCGAAAGTGCCATGGCGGCCCCGATCCATTCTTCATTGAGGAAGACCTGAGTGCGTTGCTCAAGACACGGAAAATAGCAGAGACAAACATGTCGCCGCCAATTGACCTCATTGCGTCGCCGTATTTGCCATCACCGCTTGATCCTGCCATGGAAATGGACGAGCGCAATGAGCTTCGAGACTTGATGGCCGGTCTTGTCCGTCCCCGCAGTTGTTCCCTGCCGTTCCCATCTGGTCAAATGAGTGGTGCTTCATCTGGTGAGTTTTTCAAGGACAAGCCATCATGGAGCGACGACGCTCCTGATCGCGCCCCAACAGTCTATCAAGTAAAGGAAGCGATCCACGAAGTTCGTGCGACTCTCGCAAGCTGTCGCTGCGAGTGTCCATCCGATACGGACCGCGCACGCAAACTCACTTCGATTTTCAAGGTGCTTCGCTCGTTGCATCGAGAGGGCGTGCGGTCCAAATTTCGCACGCTTCAGCACGACGACATTCGCTACTCGAAGATGGTGCAGACGACGCCCAGCATTATTAAGCTGCTCAAGCTCGCGGGGTACGTCTCGCTGCAACAGAAGCTCACCATGCGACGTGTAGATCCAGACTATCTGGCACTGTTTTTGCACGAACTGGATCGGGAACTCTATGCCTTACCGATCGAGGCGGGCGGGAGCTAGCGATTCTGACACTTCTGCCTCTGATCGGACACGAAAGGCACAGGTTTGTACGAGCGAGTCGAGTCCCGAGACTTGTTTTGGTCAAACCGACGAAGAATGGCGAGTGCGACTGGACTGAGACGCAAAGTGTTGGTACTTTACCGTGACGTGCTGCGCGTGGCAAGAGGGTTCCCCGATCGTAGCATGGGTCGGAAACTGCAGTACAACGCGAGGGAGTTGCTGCGTCTGAGGCAGCACGAGACGAACGCGTTGCGCATTCAGACGTATTTGACAGAGGGCTATGATGCTCTACGCGTGTACCAAGTGCTACAGACGGATGCTGAGTTGCTCACGGCCATTACGAGGAAAAAGAGAGACTCACTCGGGAGAGATGCAAAGAAGAAGAAGTGAGGACGCTCAGGGGCTATAGATAATGAAACGGATCCAGCAGGAGATTAGCTGGCGAGTGTCGAGGGGGCATTGAGACGTGCGGTGGTGCTGATGCTGTGAATGACATCGAGTACTTGTGCACTTGCGGAGATTGACATGTACAAAGCACTTGTTCCCAATGTGTTTGTGATGATATAGACGCCGTAGACTTTCCAGTATGCCTAGTCACAACGATAACGCAGCTTACAAGTCTACGTACATTTTACAATCTTGAATGGAAAGCTCGTCTGTCGATACGATGATGGCGTGTCGAGGTGGGTAGGAAGAAGACACGTTCTCGTTGTGAATGCTCGACGTGTATTTGCAGCCAGTCAACATGACAGGTGCAGATGGAGGCGAGCCTAAATGACTGGCAAACGGCCTTCTCGATAACAACAGCAGCTTTGTATGGATGGCCAATCGCCTCGATTGCCTGTCGTTGGGTTTTGTGGGGTGGAGCTGAGAATGGTTCACAAAAGCGGGTGCGTTTATCTGCTCGCTCAAGCGAAAAGGAGGTCAAATAGGGTCTAGTGCCCTGACGGGTGAACGAGTTTTCCCGATTGTAAACACAACGTACTGTAAGACGTATTGAGCCTCTATGCAAGTGAACGGATTGCAAGAAGTCGAAAGTCGACATGTGTAGCGCGAATGGAACCATCGGCACGAGTCTACAATATGAGACGGTGGAAGTGGTGTAAGCGTAAATGTTATCCCAAGTGTCAAGACACAATCGAGCGTTCAAACTTGAGCCCTCAAGATGAAGGACCTAGTTGTCAAGAAAGTCGCCTGCATCACTCTGCAGTCCATACAGGTCCTGTTCTTGCATCACCGTAGCCTTCGTCATCATCACTATGTGCTGTGTAGCATTAAAAAGCATTGACACGCAAGCTCGAGTGGGCCCAGCAGCAGTCCACTTTACGTCGCTTGATCCTTGCGAGCACTCGTGATGTAGTTGAGCAAATCAATCCTCGTTGCAAGGCCTGCAATCTTGCCGTCCGTCGAGGTCACGACAGCAAAGTAGTCCTTGTCGAAAATCGAGGCAAGTTCGGCCAACGAGCTTTCGTAAGTCAAGCGGCTGAAATTGCCAAACGTCACACCTGCCACTTGGTCCGTTCGCGTCACGCGGCCTGACGACAGCATTGACAGCAGATTGCCGATCGTCACGACACCCTGTACAGTCCCATTCTCTGTCACGACGGGAAGCTGGTCATACCCGTGACGCTCCATCATCTCGACCGCGCTAGCGCATGAGAGCTGAGGAGACACCGTCGACGGGTGTGGCAGCTCCAAGACCGATACACGCTGCTCCGACCACCATGTGCCAGTTTCTTTGCGATATTTCGAGTAGTTTTCGTGCGTGTGCACCGTGTTTTCAACAAACTTGTGTTCGTACATCCACGCGTCGCTCAGAAACTTGCTCATGTAGTTACGCGTCGAGTCCGACAGAATCACAACGCAGCGCTGGCCCGCCTTCAGCTTCGAGGCAGCGCGCACTGCCGCTGCCATGACAGAACCACTTGATCCACCACACAACAGTCCCTCCTCGCGGATCAACCGACGAGACATGATAAACGACTCCTGGTCGTTCGTTTTCTGCCACTCGTCTACCAGGCTGCGATCGAGTACGCCCGGGATGAAATCATAGCCAATGCCTTCGACCTTGTACGGCATCAGTCGGTTCTTGTCGTTGAGCGACTCTGGCTGGGCCAGAATCGATCCTTCCGGGTCCACGCCAACGACAATGATCTCCGGACACTTCTCCTTCAGTTTCCTCGCAACGCCCGAGATCGTTCCACCAGTACCAACTCCCACCACAACCATGTCCAGCTTTCCATCACACTGATCCAAGATCTCTTCTGCAGTGCCTTCGTAATGTGCCAAAGGGTTTGACGGGTTCACGTACTGGTCCAGTATATGAGCGTTCGGAAGCTCAGCCTGCAACCTCCTGGCAATGCCAATGTGACTCTCTGGCGAGTCCCACGCAGCCTCTGTAGGCGTGCGGATGATCTCGGCCCCCAGCGCTTTCAACATGTTCACCTTCTCCTGACTCATCTTCTCTGTACCCACCCGACACGCAGCCAATGGCACGTACACACGCGTACACGCACAAAAGATACACATGTCAGCTGCGCAGTAGAACACGCTGTTTCAGCAACGCTCACGCACCTGGCAGCGTAATGATGCAGCGATAGCCCTTGATCGCAGCCGCGAGCGCCAAGCCAATGCCTAACACATTGCAGTCATGTTCTGTGCATTTCACTCCACTGTTCATTTGGGGCACCTTGTCTTACCAGTATTGCCGGACGTGGGTTCAATGAGCGTATCCCCAGGTCGAATGCGACCTGCGGCCTCGGCGTCTTCCACCATGCGCTTGCCAATACGGTCCTTCACTGACCCGCCAGCATTGAAGAACTCGCACTTGGCCAGCAGTTCACACTCCAGGTGCGCCTTCTTGCTGATGCTATTGATGCGGACCATAGGTGTCTGACCAATCGCTGCCTGAGCATATCAAAACGACGCCTCGAGTGAGAATGCCATTGTTGTTTACCGCTTCGATGCACTGGCACGTATGTGCTTTTCGACACAGCACAAGACAAAGTGTGGATGAGCACGTCGACGCACATACGTACCATGATGTTAGGCAGGATCTCGAGGCCCGCGGGTGGCAAGCGCGACGTCGTCGGCACAGCTGGGGAAGCCATGGTGGCAGCAAATGGGAACAATGACTGCAAAAGCGACGCGCTTTGTGTGCACCACACGACATCTGGCAGGTCGTTCGTGTGGCCCACGTCACGATGGCCGTGATGCCCGCCATTCGATTTGGCAGGTCACACGCGTGGTGCCCAGCACTTTGCGCCGTCGGCAGCACCTGCAGCTTCTGATTTATGTACCGCACCCAAGTCCACCGTCTGCGGCAAACGCCCATCGTCAGCCCTCTATAAACAGCACCTACTGTACAATTTACTACCACCCACCAGCGATGCAACAGAGTGATGGTCAGTGCAATGTCCGCCATCGACTTGCATTCCGCATTTTGCTCCGTGCTGCGCACCCGTCCGACACCGCCCGCCACTCGCACTCACTATGCCACTCGTACGTCCCGTGTTGCCGTCAAACCGCCGCGCAGTGCCTCACCCACTCACTCACTCACTCACTTATTCTCTATCTGTCTTCGTCTGTTGTCTGCGTCTCTCTCTCTCTCTCTCTCTCCGTCTACGTGTCTCTGTAGGCCGGAAACGCCACGCTCGAAGAGCAGGACCCCGAGATCTTCCACCTCATTGAGGCCGAGAAGAACCGGCAGTGGAAGTGCCTCGAGCTCATCGCGTCCGAGAACTTCACGTCGCGCGCGGTCATGGACTGTCTCGGCTCGTGCCTCACGAACAAGTACGCAGAGGGGCTGCCGAACGCGCGCTACTACGGCGGCAACGAAGTGATTGACAAGATTGAGATCCTCTGCCAAGAGCGCGCGCTGGCGGCGTACGGCCTCGACGCCGACCAGTGGGGCGTGAACGTGCAGCCGTACTCGGGCTCGCCCGCGAACTTTGCCGTGTACACGGCGTTGTTGCGTCCGCACGACCGCATTATGGGCCTCGACTTGCCCAGTGGCGGCCACTTGACGCACGGCTTTTACACGTACTCGAAGGCCGAGAAGACGCGCAAAGCCGTGTCGGCCACGTCCGTGTACTTTGAGTCGCTACCGTACCGCGTGAACGCCGAGACGGGGCTCATTGACTTTGACAAGCTCGCGGAACAAGCTGCGCTGTTCAAGCCGGCGATGATCGTCTGCGGCGGCAGCGCGTACCCGCGCGACTGGGACTATGCCGCGTTCCGCAAGATTGCGGACGACAACGGGTCGCTGCTCATGTGCGACATGGCGCACTACAGCGGTCTCGTGGCCACGAAGGAGCACAACAGTCCGTTCGAGTACTGCGACATTGTGACGACGACGACGCACAAGTCGCTCCGTGGACCGCGCGCGGGTATGATCTTTTTCCGCCGCGACGAGCGCAACTTTGAGTCGCGGGTGAACAACGCCGTGTTCCCTGCGCTCCAGGGCGGACCGCACGAGCACCAGATCGCCGGCATTGCCGCGCAGTTGAAGGAAGTGCAGAGCCCCGAGTTCAAGGCGTACGTGCAGCAGCTGAAGGCGAACGCAAAGATCTTGGCAAAGACGTTGACGGATCTTGGCTACTCGATGTGCACGGGCGGCACGGAGAACCACTTGGTGTTGTGGGATTTGCGTCCGCAGGGCGTCACGGGCTCGAAGATTGAGAAGCTCTGTGACATGGTGTGTATCACGCTGAACAAGAACGCTGTGCTGGGCGACCGCAGCGCGCTCACGCCAGGTGGGGTGCGCGTCGGCACGCCTGCTCTGACGAGTCGTGGCTTCAAGGAGGCTGACTTTGTCCAGGTGGCCAATTTCCTCGACCGTGCGGTGAAGTTGTGCATCGAGATCCAGGCCACGAGCGGCAAGAAGCTGGTGGACTTTATCAAAGCAGCCGAAGCGCACGAGGGTGTGAAGCAGCTGCGACGTGACGTGAACGCCCTGGCCACCTCGTTTGAGATGCCTGGCTTCAAGGTATCGGAGATGCGCAACAAGACCATCGAAGAGTAAGTGCCGTTGCTCGCCTGTCGATAGTCTTTTTTCGCCCGAGGGCCGCTTTAGATTGTGTGCGGGGTGTGACAAGGGAGCTGCGTGCCCGCACCTTTCTTCACTGCCGTAGTAGGTCATCATCACGCGTTTGTCGTGTGGTCGCAGATCTTCCAGCAACACGAACACCAACCCCCACTCAATATATTCAGCTGGCGTTGATGCCGCGACGGAAAAAGGTGCCACATGCGCGTTCATTCGTACGTACAAATGGGCTGCTCGCATCTCTTTTGCCATTATAGTGTGTGCACACAGTGGTTGGTCACTGCAGAATGGAACACTCGTCCATCTCTTGCAGCGTGCCGATTCTTTCTACTTTGGTTGTGCGAGCAGGCGAATACGAGGGATACTGCTCACGGAGCTCTTCGCGCACCACGAGCGACGCGTCGCTCTTTGAGGCTTCGGCAATGCACTGCGCGCAAAAGACGAGTTTCTTGTCATACACTTTGCTCTTGCGGTGAACTGACACGACGCACACCTGTTTCTTGACGCAGCAGCGCTTGCACACCCACTCGGCACAACAAGCACAAGCTCGTGGCGTCGAGTGCAAGAACCCGCCAAAGCCGCGATGGCACACCCGACAGCGAGTATCGGACTGAGCGCGAGAGCGATGGGTTTGCGGCACGACAGTGACGCCTCCTGACGAGGCGGAACTCGAGCCTTGGCTACTGCTGACAACCGAATGCCGCTCTGCTCGCCGTTGCATCCACCACACGAGCTTCTTCATTTGCGCGCAATCGACATACCGAGCCATCGAGAGCCACTGGCAGGAAATCGCGTGCAGCGAGAGGTCGTTCAGCGTGTCGTTCGTCGAGTGAAAGTCAAAGTAGCCGCGTGTGTAGCAGTCCACAGCTGTCGTGGACTTCTGACGGAACAAGGTGCACACGGACATGTTTGCTCGCGCGATGCCATGGGTTGCAAACAGCGGCAGTTGCTTGAACTCGAGCGAGTGGATCAAGTGGAAGCCCACGAGCTCGCCACAGACGTTCGGAAGCAGTCCCGTAGCTTCAATGCACGTGTAATCGCGAGGTTCCGACAGCGAGTAATAGCGCCACGTGACATTCAGCGTGTGGAACGGGTCGTTCGGGGTCGGACCTTCGATGCACGTGAGCACTTTGCTGGCCGTGAGGCCGTCCTGCACGAACTTGGACCGCGCGCGCATCGAGTCGGAGCTCGTTGCAACCGACGCATACATGACATCGTGCAAGTTCCCGGCGACAGTGCCGAGCATCAAGAGCGACGGCATCGCTGGCTCGTCCGCGCGAGCTACACCAGCGCGCATGCGTGCTGCGCTGTTTCCATACAGCACGGACTTGAGCGGCTGAACGGCTTTGAACACCCGCATGCCTTCTTTCTGTTGGACCGCGCCCCACACTCGCGAGTCGGGAAAGCCGTCTCGTGTGAGCTGCAGCTCCTTGTGCTGCGTCAGGTTCGTTTCGAGCAACTTCGTGGACAGCGCTGTGATGGACGTGACGTCGGTCGGCGCGAGCTCCAGTGGCGGCAGCGACTGAGCGATCGCCTCTGGTTTCGACATGATCGCGGGCAGCAAAAGCTCAGCTGTCGTCCGTTTCCTCGCGCCGTGGCGTATGGAGCTGTCCCTTTATTTCGAGGTCGGATTTCTCGGTGGTGTTTACGATGACTCGACTGTCAGATGTTGGCCAGACACAGCGAAAGCGCAGTCGCTATGCGACGCGCAGAGACAGGCGAGTCACACCCGCGCCGCACGCGACCGGCAACAGCTGATGATGGACGGACGAAGGGATAGCGCGCTGCTCACTGTTCACAGGTGACGCTATTCGGTCGGTTGACGCCGTTTGCGCTGCTCAGGCACGGGCAAGGGGATGTAGAAGAGCCACTGTCCACGACAGCGACAGTGGTTCTGGCTCGTAGCACGAGTGCGTGCAGCATAGGAGCGACAACGGCCGTGACTGGAGAGCCACGTGCGTCCGACTGAGGTGGCTGTGATGGGCACAGTGGGCCGGCGGCCGCCTTGTGGTCGCCTCTTGTGCGAGAAAACTCGTCGTGTGTGTCCTCTGATTCGGGATCTTTTGAGGGCGCTTCGTTGGGATGTTTTGTCGGATACTTTTGCAGCGTGGTTTTGTAGCTGTGGAGTAACGACGAACCATCGTGCCAAGTGAGGCGTGTCGACGACTTGCATGCTGCATAGCTTTGCTGGTTGTCTGATACGCCTTTCTTTCTCTTGTGCGGCTAAAGTAGCTTTTTGCAAGCGACACCGGCACAGTTGTTTGGCTCACATCGTGTGACGGCAAAGAGGCAGCTTCACCTGTAGTAGTATCAGTTATCGATACACAGCTCTAGATCACGACATCAATCGACCATAATCTGCATAATATCGCGTCTGTCGCTGTAGTGCAATCATCGTGGCAGAATCTACCTGACAGTCTACGTTTCTATGTCACTGCACTAAGAAATAGAAAAGAAGAACGACACGAGCGTTCCAACGCAGGTAAATACTTTCTTTCTTTAACGTTTCTAAGACTTGTGCACTTCATTGCAACATGATTACGATGATGGCATGACGTGTGTAAACAAGATCATGCACTGTCAAAGCAGCAGATGCGGTCGTCACTTTGCCACCGACATAGCCGAGAAATGGCGTTTGCCAAGTACCCAGCAAACGTGCTGCTACCAGTATAACCTCAATGTGCACCAAGGTGCCCAGTATGAACGGTATACTCGCGATGTGTATACTGGGAAACGGTCTTTCTAACAATTGATTAATTACCGATTATAACAAGAATGAATCATTATATAATAATGTAATGGTGACACGGCGTTGGAAACCAACAGGTTTCAGGAGTGTGGAACGTACTCCCTCGAAGGCTGTGTATGATACTGCAGAGCTTGCAACCAACATGAAAGCATGAATCACGCCCCTTGAAAAGATCGAGGCGGATGACTACAATCAGGGCGTTCATAGCTGAGACACAGTTGTTGATCTGCTACACGAAAAGCTTAGTTTTCTCGTCGTAGCAACAGCAGTGAACGAACATGTCGATCTTCGTCGCTCTGTGTAGAACAGTGTCATCTGCGGTAAATGCAGAAGGGGCGTCACGGCTTACAAGTGCGCCAACACTTGATCCTGAGTCGGATGAACGCTTTACTATCTTCTTGCCAAGTTCAAATGGACGAAGCTTGCTAAAAGCTTATGTGATCCATCAGATGTGAATCGAACATGCGTCTCAGTGACCTCGCGCAACTGGCTACAGCCCAGAGATATGAGTTGTAGGATCCGCGAATACCATTGAGTCGCCGCGCAATTTCCATCTTTGGTGCTTGGGCCGTGATCTGCTATCAATGATGAGTGCAATCCTTTGATGCATGAATGGAGGTAGCCATCTGGACCGACCACCACCTCCCTCGCTCGTTGGAATATACTGCTGACGATACACCACAGCTTGTCACACCACCTTTTACTCTAAAAGCTAGAACTCCAACGTTGTGATGCCATTCGGACTTCGAGTGACTGGGCGGCTAGATCTTCATCGTTGTCAAAGTTTGCATATGAAGACGTAAAAGTGGCAAGGACGTAGCCCGCTTGCCTGCATGAGACAGGCGATCAGTAGCAAGACCGGCTTGCACTTCACTGCAAAGAAAAGGTGTCTTGGCAAGGAGTCTCTATTATCGTCGTATCTTAGCTTGTGAAGACGAACGGCGCTACACTTCGACTTCTAAAGGTGAAGAGAGCACACACGAGTCCGTCCACAAGACCGTTTGTTCGCGTGTGTTTGCATAAATCGTCTCAAAAGACATCGCCCGTAGCTTCGTGGCGTCATACAGTAGAAATTTGTGTGGCAACTTTGCCGCTCTGGCTCGCTGATGATCTACCTAGAGACCGTCTCCATGCTTTCGAACGCTTTGGCACATGCAATCTTGTCGGAAGCCAACCCGCCGGAACAGCGATGTATGACTCTCAAAGACGTGGCGATGTCCGCTAGAGGGAAAGGAGTTGACGAGGAATGACAGAGCGACTGATTTATTGACAGCTTACGATGTCTTACAGTCCTTCGGCATACTGCCCTCGTCTTGTCAGGTGTGTTGTAAGCGTTCGCATAGTCTGCTTCTCGCTTTCTCTAGACATCCAAAATGTCCATCTTGGATACATTGCATATGAAGCCTCATATCTGGAACCATGCAGGCTATCCTGCTCGTGTGGTCCAAGCATGACCGGATGTGGGTAAAACAGCAGCACGAACGCAACAAAGAGCCATCTCATCTCGCAGCCTCTGCTTCCGCGTTTCGAACGAGTATAACCCGCAAGTAGCTCTTCTGATGGTCAATTGACGTTTCGAAAACGCCAATTGCGATAGCCGCAGAAGCCAAACGCTTCATCGCTATCGAAGGCTACTCCAGAAACAGTGTTGTGAAGGAAGTCATTCGATGTGCAGTATCTCTGGTTGAGCGTGTGCCATCGATACACCAACAACTGGATATTGTGCATCGACATCGATATGGAAGACGATGTAAGACGCATTCAGACGCAGCGAATGACTGCAAACAGTATTGAGGATCGAGCGAGTTTGACCGTCAGGGCTTCACAGTACAACGTGCGGCAACGAAGAGTAAGGCGAATGACTGCACTTTTGTGTGTCGTTGATCGATGTGACGAAGATCGATGCCAGTATCGTTTACATGTGCTGGGTCAGCAATAGCATCGCGTGCACGAGTACGTGGGTGTGATAGCGCTGACACTCTACAGGTGGCTCATCGATCGAGACACATCTGCGTTCAGATTGTCGAGAAAGTGCATGAGTGGTTGTTGGTGTGTAGATACAGTAGTGGCTTCATCCATCTACGCTCGGTCAACTGCAACCAGATGCCATATTCATCTTGCAAGCTTTGGGATTGCCAACCGTGCCGGTTTCGAAGTGGCTTCTGCATTGTACCCTCAACAACGTCGTGTGTGCTACTGGACACTAGTGCTAGATGTTATTCCAACGCGCGGCCAACGAGTCATCTCGCCCATCGTTCGCGCGGATTCTGGTAGATGCGCTGTAGAGCACTTTTGAGAGGTGACAGATGGGCGAATGGCATCAGGAAAGACGCCATGATGATCCGAAGTGCCCTGGATACCAATGGATGTCCAGCTCCGAAGAAACTCGCACACACTACATGTACGGCATGTAAGACAGACGCGAATATACCCGTCTCACTCACATGCGTTGCAGTAACAAACATGCAGTGACTTGTGCCGTGGTCCATCGGACACGAGATCGGCCTATTGATGCAATGTTTCCTACCTCTTTACAAATCGATCCTCGACACAGCGGCGGCACTACACCACCTCGTCGCATGTAGATCTGGCGATTACATCCGTGCAAGACTTGACAAAGAGAAGCTTCACCCTAGAACTCGTCAACATACTGACAGTCAACACCGTATAACATCGTGTCAATCGAACGTGCGTTGTATATATAATCCACGAAGAAGATCCCAGAGGGTCCGTCCATCGCATCGAAGTCTCTCTTGCATAGTAGGCAGCCAAACCAGGATCTTTACCCCATTCTGTCTTGCAAATGTACTCACTCTTCTGGTGTTACCAAGTGCTATAACATCACCCGACTCGGTCTTGTAGCTCAATGACGTCAGTCCTTCTGAGCTCCCTCACTCGCACGCGGCGCTTTCTGTCATCAGCACTTGTTCAATGGCTCTTCGTTCGTACTCTCCAATGAGTAAGCAGCGACAGTATCACATCCAGTGTTGTCCATTGTAGCAGGCAGCGCCACTGATTTAACTGAGACACCGTCTCGTACGCACGTGGACGTGAGCTTTTGACCTGCTCATCGGTTGCCGCCGAGGCGACGAACATGACGTCGGTGAGCTGCCCCGGCACAGTGCCCCGCAGCAGCGCGTTGTAGCTCGCAATGCTATGCGCGACAAAGGTCTCTGCTAAGCGACGGCGCGACGCTACGTCGGACTCGACGAGGTGCAACTGCGACACGAGAGGCGCCAAGTCGTGTGTTTGTGCCGGGCGATGAAAAGAGACGCGCGAGTGGGCGACGACGACTGCGACTGCGACTGCTACGGCTTTTGTTTGTACGTTGGCATTGAACGCTTTGTCCGTCGTGAGGCACTCACGACGTGCGCGACAGATTGAGCGGAAAAGCGTTCGGTGGAAGCGCTGATCGCGTACCGTCGACGTCTGACTGGCGGGAGGTCGTGCAACTACAACTGCAACTACTGCAACTACCACTGCACTACTGGAACTACTACTACGTGGTCGCAGCCACGCGAACAGGAGAATTCGTGGCTCTAATTGCTTCTTGGCACTCACTACCTACAGTCATGACCTCATACCGTCCGAGCCCTCTGACGTCGTAGATGTATGGGCAATGAAGAAGAGGGAGCAGACGCGACGCAGAGTGAGTGATCGACCGGTCGACCGGTTCGAACAAATGGACGCACAGTCGACGGAATGGACGCACAGTCGACGGAATGGACGCACAGTCGACGGAATGGACGCACGGATCGCATCGTATCGTATGACCTGTCAAAATCCGTACGATCGACGCGACGCGCGTTCTCGAGACGCACAATCGTACGACCGTCTTGTCATAGTCGACCCAGTTGTCCCACACGCAGCCACAGTCCTTTTTGCGTTTTCGACAAAAGACCCACTTTTTTCTTCTTCGTCCCACCCACTTTTTTCTTCGTCCGACCCACTCGACATCCAGTTCCGAACAACAGCTACCGATCGACCGTCTTCGTGGGGTGTACCGTTGCGATCGCAAGACCGCTTCCACCCACTTCCTTCACTTTCTTCCTTCATCTTGCACCGCGACTGAGCTCGAGACAAGCGGAAGCGAAGAGGAGAGAGAGAGAGAGCACTCCCTCCCTCCATTGTATGGCGAAATTTGCCGACTGTATTACGTGGACCACTCTAGACGTCGAGTACGTCCTGCACTATCCGGTGTTCTCTGTCTTCGTATTTGTATGGGTGACACCTGTTGGGCTCACAATCGAATAGCGCGATGTAACGTGTCTTTCACCTGCCCCGAAAACTGACTCTATCGTGTTTTTCGGCGGTTTGCGGTTTGTGCCTCCAGTTTATCGAAACCCCAACCCACACGAACGCAAGTCGGACTTCCTGCTTCAACTTTGTCGTCATCGTAATCTGCAAACGGCAGTGACGGACGAACACAGCCGCAAACGAGTCGAGTAGCTCTGATCCAACACATTGGATTGACCGGAATGCTCGTTGCTAGTGCTGGAGACGACGACGGGTCGAACGGCGGAGAAAGTGGTGGCGACAGTAGTGGTAATAGCGGGTTACCAGCACACGAGCGCTGCAGCCGATCGACTGCAGCTGGACGCAATGACCATTTGACACGTCAAAAACACGGTCAACTGACCATTGACGGCGTGTGTACGGATGCCGAAACGGGTGAGCTTCGTGCAGCTTCGAAAGGTGATGAACAAACCAGAGGTCAGCTGTCCGGAGTGCAGGACACTTGTTCCGAAAAGGAGCACAGTGCTCTGACGCGTGCGTTCTTGCAATACGGAAGTCTCCAGTCCGAGCCAAAAAGTCATGGCGCTACTGCAGGGTCCAATGCCAGACAGCTGCAGTCAGGTCTGCACCAATTCCAGAGTTCACATGGAGCAGGGAACAACGTCAAGAAGAAGTTGAATAGCCTGCAGGATGCTGCTTACTGGAGGGTGCGGACCTCGCAGTCTACATCGGACGAGTCTGGTGACGATTCGGAGACATCGTCGAGTTCGTACAGCTCATCAGGCAGTCCCGTGAAGACAGCGACGATTCCGATCCGCTCGTTATCGTTTTCGGTTGCGGATCGAGTAGAGTCGCAGCTTCTGGTCCCGAGTCAGCCGCGCAGAACGCGCGAGGAACTTCCGCTGCTTGGACCACTCGCTCGAAGCTTCGACCCGGATATTGAGTCGAGGGGTCTACTTGCCGAGTTCAAGCGCGAGGCATGTGTCGACACGAAGGCGGAAGTGTGGAAGCTGCTGACGTTGGCGTACCCCGTCACGTTGGCGTACGTGTTGGAGTTTACGCCTGAGCTGGTGAGCATGACGTTGGTTGGCCACTTGGATTCGCCATTGACGAAACAGTATCTGGATGGTGTGGCGCTCTCGACTATGTGTATGAATCTGACTGCAATTGGAGTCGGCTTCGGTCTCGCCACAGCCATGGACACGCTATGTTCGCAAGCGTATGGCGCTGGGAAGTCGCAGAAACTCGGCATCTACCTCCAGAGTGGCTTGATTGTGCTGGGGTTGGCACTGATTCCTGTTTTGGCGATCAACTGGTATACGGAAGCCATTCTGCTCCTGATCGGTCAACCGGCGCAAGTGGCGAAGTTTGCTGGACGCTTCAGTCGGATCCTGCTTGCTGGGATTCCAGCCATGTACGTCTACGAGATGGTGAAGAAGGTGATGCAAGCCCAGAATGTCGTGCTGCCTATGGTGTACATCGCTGTGATCAGCAACCTCGTCAATCTGCTTCTGGGCGTCTACCTCACGTTCTTCACGTCGCTGGGGTTCGATGGTGCAGCCATCGCGCGCTTGTTGTCCCAAGTGGTGCTCCCGCTGTGTTTCATCCCGTATTTCATCAGCGACCCGCATCTTTCCACCGAGTGGTGGCCCGGCTGGCAACTGCAAGAAGCGGTACGTCATCTCAGCACCTTTTTGCGGCTTGGTCTACCAGGCGCTGCCATGATGTTGCTGGAGTGGTGGTCGTTTGAAATCATGGCGGCTTTCGTGGGCTTGTTGCCTCACAGTGTCGTTGCTATCAGCGTGCATTCGGTCTTGGTGAACGTGTCGACGTTTGCGTTCAACTTTTTCCTGGGCATTTCCGTGGCAGCTAATGTCCTTGTGGGCAACTACACTGGCAGCAACAAACCACTTCACGCCAAGACGGCATCGACTGTGGGCATGATACTATCCGTGTCGTTGTCGGCAGTGATTGCTGTGCTCGTGATCGCGACGCGGTATGCGATCCCCGAGATCTTCATCAATGACGCTGCATCCATTGCAATGGCAGGGCACGCACTGCTCGTTCTCATGCCGTATCAGATGTGCGATGCGATGAACGCAGTGATGCAAGGGGTGTTTCGCGGCACGGGACGGCTCATGCTTGGCGCTTACATCAATCTGTTTGCGTACTTTGTCGTCGGTCTCCCCTTTGGCGTGTACCTCGCGTTTCGGATGGACATGGGCGTGGAAGGCTTGTGGCTCGGCCTCACTGCCGGCATCTTCGTTGGCTGTGTCGTGTCGCTCGGCAAGATCTACGGGACCAATTGGACGAGCATGGCGGAGGCTGCGCGCGTGCGCACGGGCTGAGGAGTTACACGCGCAGACCGCGACTGCTGGTCCCGCTCTCGCGTTTTCTGGGATCGTCATCGTGTTGATCCAGCAGCAGTACACGAAGAGAGAGAGAGAGCAACGACGTGGTGATGGTGCATCATGCAACAGCGTTTACCTCACGTTCTCCTTCGATCGCGCGTGCACTCGATAGTCGATCGATCAAGTGGGTTGTCGTGTGCTTTGCTCGTGCCGTGTGTTTCGTGGCACTGAACGCGCTCTGTGACATGGCCACACGCGAGTGGATTCCACTCAGATGCACTCGTTCGTCCTCTGTCAACGGCATCGTGGACCGACCCGTTGCGCGCTGCGTGTTGTTGGCGGCGTGCGTGGTCGCAGCTTGTAGTCACGTTTTGTCACCCGCTGCGTGGCCGACGTCGGCGCCGACTTACCGTGCACATTTACCGGTTTCTGGTTACCTTTCGATGAGAACTACTTGGTTTCGCCCTGCCTGGACACCTGAGTCCGATAATATCCAAAAGGCAGAGTTTGACGCGCCGTCCGTCAGTCCCACGTGGTGTTTCTTGCACGCCCCAAAAATATCCAATCGCCGCTCGTAATTTACCGTCCACCTGACGTCATGGTCCTCTCCCGTCCGTTGCTGCTCTGCTGCGCGCTGTCCGCCGCGAACGTCAATGCGTCCGCTGACTTTCCCGACTTGGGCAAGTACACGCAACTGTGTGAGCCCTATACCTGTCGTGCAAAGCGCGCGTTGGTCCCGGTCAAGTACGTTTATGTGTCATCCCGAGCGATCCCGCCGGGATAAAATACGCGTTTACCCCTCTCTAACTATATCATCCGCCTGGTGGATTCTTATTCCATGCTTCTGCAGAGACTTTGAGTTTACGACCAATGGCTGCGGCACTTCGGGTATGTCGGTGACGTCCAATCAGGAGTTTCTCGAATGCTGCAACTGGCACGACGCAGTATGTGGTCGATGTGTACTTCCTTGTGTGCTTTTCTTTCGGGCGCCAGCTATGCCGGTGTCGCTCTCTCTTGTTTTTGACGCTTTACTTTCGATTGCAATCGATTCGTGATGCGGTTTTTTGTATCTTGTGCTTTTCTTTGTTTGTCACTGTGCAGTGCTACAGCGTCTGCGGGATGCCGAAAGCCAATTGCGAGAAACGCTTTCAAAAGTGTCTGAAAGAGAAATGTGGCGACGTTCGGGACGCCACAAAGCGTGGCGAGTGTTTATCAGCTGCCCGTATTTTTTACGTCAGCGCCAACGTACGTGTTTGCAGCAGTGCAATGGGCTGTGTATACTATGCTGCTTGGTGTAGCAGCTTGTCGACTGCCGAGAATGTACGGGCTCACGGCGTATGTTTGGTTACTGTTGGGATAATGGCCGTCCTGTTTGTTGCTGTTGCTATTGCTGCACTGTGTTGTTGCTACGTGGTACAGATGATTGCGTGTCCAGCCTTCCACGATGCACAGAAAGAAGCGTGCGAGTGCGTGCCGACGAAGGAAGCCGCAGACGCTATCCGCGAGCGTCTCGTGTACTTCCTCGAAGTGAATGGCGCGCCAGAAGACGAGCTTGCGGACGAGGCTCTGGACGCTCTGTTGGCAAAGTACAAGGGCCGGGAGCACACCATGTTCCTGCGCCTGCTGAAGAAGTACCCGGACGCTCTCAAGCTGGACCCGCAAAAGTCCAACTATCTCGACGACGTTGTTCGCGATGCCGACGAGAGTCTGAAGGACATGGAGAAGAACGAGGCGGCCACCCGCGGGACGGACGAGTACGTGGACGAACACGAAGAGCTCTAGAGACGACGACGACGACGACAGAGACGGCGACTTCAACTCGTGCAGTATGATCGTCAATGAACGAGTCTCTCGTGTATCTGCTGCTGCTGTTGTTGCTGTTGTTGTTGTTGTTGTTGTTGTTGTTGTGCTTGTTCCGTTCCGTTGCTATAGCGCTGGATCCTCTGGGACGTCGCTCATGTACTCGGGTCGGCAAATGTTCACGCCGTACTCTTTCAGACTCGCAGAGAGGTCGTCCATCGTCAGGACGGCCCGCGTGCTCGAGGAAGAAGACGTCGTTGCGTCTTGTGCCAGTGGGGCCGACACCGCTGTGGCCGGTGCTCGAAGGCGGTGGTATTGCATGGCGTCGTGCGTCACGTCCAGCAGCAGTTTGTGCGCGACGAGCGAAACGAGTCGCGTGCTATGGGATATAGCGAGCGACGTGACATGGCAGGAGCGAGGAGGGCAAATACGGGACACAATAACGTCACTTTTTTATACGGTGCGAGTTAGAGACAAAGCGGCGCGGTGAATAGAGAGAGAGAGAGACGCGAGAGACGCGAGACGTACATGCGCACGTCATTCGTGGTGCATCCAGCTTGCTGGAGGTAGAAATCGACGAGCTCGTCCGGGATCGTCGGTGCGTACTGCGTCATGGCTGCCAGGAAGGCGTCGAGCTGCGCTGCTTCCGACATAGTGACGGCACAGATCAAGTGCAGACGGAGTCTGGGGGACCGACGGAATAAGAGAGAGCGCTAATGGGTTGACGATGGGCGTGATAAAGAGGATAGAGTCAAGCGGACGCTAACTTGCGCGATAAAGCTGCGGATTGGTGCCGTATCTACATGGAATGACTGCATCTATCACACTGCTTGAGGTTAAACTGCTCACTGCGTTTTACCCGCTATTCGTCAAGATGTGGTCCCCCTTTTTAGCAGTCTCTTTTCGACCAGCTGGAGGAATTGATTTCACGACCATTATTGTCGTTGTGAAAAAGCTGGCGTGTCGTAAAGTTGTTGCTACATGAAGACCAGCGCGAGGGACTGCGACGTGGGACAGTGTTTGCGGACAAGGACTCTTCAATTCGGGTCAGTCTGACAAGCGATGATGACACTTGTAAGAACAACCGCCTCACGCGTGCCGACGTAATGACATGTCGCGGCCATTACTTCGACCGTCGCGACAAACGCATTCCTTGACGTTCCACATGACACGTGCGCACTTTTTACCGCACGTGTCGCTGTTTGCTCCCCGAAGTCGGCCAAAGCAAATGGACAGACAAAGATGTCGGTAAGCCATCCCCACGTGTGGTCGGTCTCCCCTTGACGTAGCAGACCGTGTCGGTGGAACAAGTCGGTGCCGGGCGAGGCATCCGAAGCAGCAGATAGAGTTAGGACGAAGTCGTTGACCATAGAGAGACACTGTTGGTGACTTGTGTTGTCCACTGTACCGGTCGTCGATGGCAAGACGGACGTGTTGTGTGATACACGGGACCTGATGGACGCGTCACGTGCGTTGAGCGTCTGTCTCCACACTCGTATCTTGTTGCCGGTTTGCACGCCGATGCCTCACATTCTGTTCATGCTATCAGAGTCTATATGCGATCTATCTATCTGTCTATCTATCGCCTCGCTCGTCGCTCTTCAGACGTGGATGGGACTGGCTCATGGTCCTCAAAGAAGAGCTCGAGTCGACACTGAGCTCGCTCGTCAATCAGGTCACGCGTTGACACATGCAGCAATCGTCACGTCCTGTCCAAGTGAAGAAGCGCTGCTGGGTTGAAGGAACTCGCACGTGGTGTAACTCCTGGAGAAACCACAGCCGTGCAGACATGATGCCAAGCAGGGCCAAGACCCGCTTTCCTGCCGTGGGAACTCGCCGACCCACGCGCTGTTGTTATGGGATGCAATGACGGGCACCACGAGTCGGAGCGTCAAGCACCAACTCGCGACGCCATTAGACTGGTCGACGGGTCTCCACTGGCAGCACTGCACTGCACTGTACTATCCAGTGCAGTGCTAGTGCTGCATCCGATGGAAACAGTGTCTCTCCTTCGCCGTAGCGGTGGCTGTGTGATCGAGATCCAAGGAACAACTGGTAAGCGAACGGAGACCGATCGATGGCAGGTAAGGAACGTGAGAGCTTGGAAGGGCTTCAGCGATCGCACAATGAATGGGATGGAAAACAATCGTGCGGCTCACCAGTATACGCCTCAAGACGATGGACCAGAACAAGCGATCCGCTGACGGCAGCACTCCTTGTCGCAGCTTACTGCAACTGCATGGACCGAGTTCTACTCGTTGCATAAGCTGTCGTTCTTACGCAGCAGACGCAGGTTCGACGTCCGTAGCTTACAAGTGGGTCAACCGGCGAGAGGGCCGAGAAGAGGACGACGGAGGACGCTGTCGGTGTCGTACGCTCGCTCGCCTTTGTCTGCCTCGTTGCCCAGCAAAGAGCGCAAAGTATGGACACGTGGGGTGTCATTCCGCGGCTATCCACAACTGCCCCGTAGGTACCTACCAGCGACGCGGCAGAAGAGCAGCTCCGTGCTGTCGATAGGCGCGAACTGATTGCCGCTCGACGAGATTGATACCGCGCAATCCGCTGTCGACGAACGCAGTCCATGCACACGGCTTTTCCTCGAGTCAGACTCACCACCGAGTCGAAAAGACACCGTACAAGACACCCTGTCAACTGCACCGCAGCGTCTACACGCAGAGCCCAAAGCGTCCATTAAACGGTCGGCGATTCTCTGTCAATGCCAGGCGTAGCTCGTTCGTCGCTTGCCGGTTGAGGAGGACGATATGGTGTGCCATCTCACGCATGTCCCAACGTGTAGGCAGGACGGACGTTGTCAAACGATAGCAATGGGGACTGCCGGCCAGTCGTTTCGCTACTCGTCTGGTGTGCTGTAGATCCGATACAGTCAGAGCGTTCGCGCCGCCCGCTGCGATTTCTCCTCTCTCCGACTGCGCTCGGCAGCGACGGCAGTCAACTTCACTGGACCTGAACCAGCAGCATACGCCTCCTACCGATCGTCCACTTGTTTCGAGCTCTCAACGACGTGCGTCTGTGCACTACGTACCGCTCCGAGTTGCTCCAAGTCGTCGTCACGTCCCGCATGTTCACGAGCGGTGCCGCCTCTTTTGCTGCCGTAGAAAAGGCACACGGCGGCGGCGGCCCGTCTGGTGCTGAGACCGGACAAACCCCCTGAGCAGATGCACGGGAAGATCGCGTATTGCAGCACATTTGTGTTGACACCTGCCCCGGGCGTGGACCATTTGTCTTTCCTTCTCAAGGAGTTCGCTGGGCGGCTTTGCGATCCGTGGCAATGCCGGAGCGAAACGTGGGGCGTCTCGTCTCGGAATGCCGAAGACCGCTACTGCCCGAGCGCTCTCCGAGTGAGAAGCTCCTCGATCGAGTGAGCACGAGAGCAACGCCAGCTGTCTGCCGTTCGCTTTACAACACTACGCGGTGTGAGGTCTCCACGACAGCAGCAACAACGCACCACGCACTGCATCTCCCGCTCTATCTCTGAAGGTCTTCCGACTCACTCGGACGTACAGCAAACCTCTCCGTGTCGTACTCGCCGAAGAGTCCATTGGCGTAGACAGACGCCCCGTCGCTCGCTCAACTTGCAAAGCAGCTGAGCGCACGCGCAGACTTGTGGTGGCCACAGAGATTCTCCTGCGTGCAGGACGTTAGTGCTCGTCAACTCTCTCTCGAGCTCTTCGGCCCGTACGGTAGCGATATTGGTGTGTCCTGCTTGCACCTCAGAGCTCGACGGCTCGAAAGTCTCGCCCCGCGTCAGCCTCAGGTTCCAGCGAAAGAGAACGTCCGGTGCGTTGTGATAGAGGTGAGAGATCGGCACTCGACCCGCTGGTTTCGCGCAAGCTTTGCCGGCGTTTGCCCATAGTGTTTCCCCCTCACGATCGACGCAGCAGTGATCGGTCGGTCGGCCATCTGCAAGAAAAAGCGAAAGCCACTGTCCGCTGTTGCTGAGAGACGTGATGTGATGCCTGTCAGCCTGTTGCCGCTCGTTTTCTCGATACTGAGCATGACTTGCAGCACTGCACCGGCCGCCGACTGCCGCACCTGTGCGTGCACATGTGTAGTTTGTCCCATCCATTCGCGACGTTTGTCTCACAAGGCGCTGCTCGTTCAATCGAAGAGCCACTTGAGCCGCGAGGGCATTTATTCGTCACCGACATCGGTCGCATCCATCTCGAGTACCTCTTTGCTCAAATTGAGCCTCCATGGCTGCTGTCTCATCCACTGCTGCGTGTATAGCGCTCGCAGTCGAGGGCGTGCAATACATATCCACGCGTGCCTTCCGCTTGCAACACGCGCGCACGGTCTCTGCTGTTTCACGCAGCCGGCTTGGAAGAGGCACGTCCAGTCTCTGCTCGCGTGTACACACGCTCCGGCGCTTTTCTGCCATGTCCTGCAGGTCTCGACGATGCCGCGAAGACAACCAACAACAGCAACCACAGCAGCCCCGACCACCACAACGACCCGAGCGGCGCCAGCCAAAGGCCGCAAAGGGTATAGTCCATTGTCTCGTCCCCCCGACAGAAACGAGTCTTGCGACAAGATGGACGACACGCTGCTCGAGCGCTGGCTCTGCCCTCGCGCTCGTTCCGACATGACCGATCGATCGATCGATTGATCGCCCCCTTGTCACTTTTGCATTGCCACTGCCGACGACGGAGTAGTCGGTCGGTCCACCGCGTCGCATTTTCCGTCAGTCACCGCCACGCGGGACGTCGCAGTACTACATGTGGGCATCGAGCAGTCTCATTAGCGAGAGCGGGTGCAGCGAAAGCTCGCGCGGCGTTCGGTTGGAACGCGACGTGGAGCAGCAGCGGCTGACGATCACACACGGACGGGACGACGCGGACGCGTGCGTCGAGCTCTCGGACCAGGAGATCGTCACGGACTTGTTAGCGACGTTGCCCAAGCTCAAAGCAGCGGTCGAAGACCACGAGAGCAAAGCGCCGAATTGGCTGCGCAAGTCCAAGAGCGGCGACGCTGTCGAAGTGTTTGAGCTCTTGCCGACGCACGACGGCAAAGGCGACGACATGGATATTGTTTACTCGGTCGTGGCGACGATCGAGATCGAGTGCCACTTGAACGAAGTGCTGAACGTGCTCACGAGCCACCGCACGAATCACGACTTGGAGGCGTCGATGCGCGCGATCATTCCCAACAAGAAGGTCCGGCAGGGCCAAGTGCTATTGCAGCCGCACGCGACGACACTGGACGGCGCGCCGGCGCGGCACACGCGGGGCAAACACCGGACGTTCCGCGGTGGCAGCTCGTCCATCCGCTTTGACAACCCGAGCATTCCGGAACACTGCGTGGACGACAATGACAGTGACGCCGGCGCGGCGCGCAAAGTGCTCGTGAGCGTGAGCATGACGCGGTTCAAGTCGAAGCGCCGGCTGGACCTCCAAGGGCGGCTCCGGAACTGCCACCAGCGGCTGCAGAAGCTCTGCCTCGCGACGCTCACGCATCAGTTTGCCGACAACCAGCGCGCGATCCACGTGATCAAGACGCTCCCGCGGTCGCTGCACGACCGCCTGGCGCCCGTGGAAGAGAAGCAGCAGCGCCAGTCCGTGCTGGGCAGCGGCCTGCGCGGCCTCGACCACATCTCGGTCGGCTTTGACGTCCAGACGCGCACGGTGCACTGCGTCGGGTCGCGCGGGACGCGACAGTCCACGCGGATCATCGCACACGGGTACGCGGCCATAACGCCGCCCGAGCAGTTTGGCCACTACCAGCAGACGACTGCTACGCCGTACAGTCCGTCCGAGTTGGCCCACTACCGCTCGTCCCGCATCAACGCCGAAGCAAAGCACGTGATCGAGCTCCTGACCACGTCGCTGCAGCAATTCGAGCGCGTGATCCGCCGGCGCCGCTTTGGGCTGCAGACGTTCATCAAGATCCGACCGGGCGATCGCGGCGGCGGCGGCGACCGCCAGGGCTTTGAGACCTGTGAAGTGTGCAAGAAGCGTTTCTCGCTGCTCCGGCGCGAGCTCTATTGCCAGCTGTGCGGCCACGTGTGCTGCGGCGACTGCTCGAAGCTCTACGAGGTCGAAGCTACGGTCGGCGACGTCACGAAGAAGCGCATGTGCGTGCGCTGCATCGCCAACGTCGACTCGTGCGTCTTCGAGGACGACGAGTTCACGACGGCGTTAGGGCCCGCCGTGGTCGAAGACGACGACGACGACGACACGTCGTACGACCACGAGAGCGACCGCGGGAGCGACTGCGGCCGCGGCCGGCGCTACGAGAACGACACGACCGCCAGCATTGGCTCGACCGTCACGTGCTCGGAGTTCGAGAGCGGCGGCAGCCCCGACGAGCTGCTGAGCGAGCTGTACCCCGAGAGCGCGCTGCTCGAGCACTCGATGGCGCTCCAGGCGCTTGACCGCATGGTGAACCCGCACGCACACGCCGTGCGGCAGCAAAAGGCGCTCGAGCGGTCGCGCATGACGCAGTCGCAGCTGAGTCCGCCGCTGCCCGTGCGGCGGGGGCAGCCGGTGCCGTCGTCGGCCCCTCCCGCTCGCGGGCAACAGGTGCAGGCGGCGGCCCACCACCTCACGCACAGCCAATTGAGCATCTCGCGCTTCAAAGAGTCGCAGCTGACGCAGTCGCAGCTGAGTCAGTCGCTCTCGAGCATGCAGCAGCTCCAGCAGTCGCGTCTGACGCAGAGCCAACTGAGCCAACCGCACGCGCGCTCGCGCCTTCAGCCGTCGAGCCACTTTGCGCCCAGCAGCAGCAGTCACGTGAGTGCCTCGCGTTTCCAGCAGTCGCACCTCGACGACTCGCTCGTGGCACAGCTTCGCGCGGACGTCGAAGACCACCTCAAGCGCACGTTGCGCGCCAACTTCCACGACACGCGCGCCAAGTGCTCGGGCGCAGACGAGTCGCAGTTCTCGATCGCGCCGGCCGAGCGCGACTACCAATTGGAGTTCGACGGCAGTCAGACCATGTCGCCGTCGCATCCGCTGCCGCCAAAGCCGCTGCCGGCGCAAGAGCGGCGGCGACTGCACTACGTCATTGGCTCGGGGGCGCTCAGTCCTGCCTACGACCGCAGTGCGCTCAACATGCTCGCGCAGGTGGCAGCGAACCACTTGAATTGCCCTATTGGGTACGTCACGATGATCGACCAGTCGACGCAGTACGTCGTGGGGCTCTACCCGCGAAAAGCCATTGGCACGTCGCTGCCGCGAGAGGAGTCCATGTGCTCCTACACAGTGTACCACGAACGTCCGCTCGTGGTCAAAAACGCTCTCAACGATATCCGATTCAGTCACATGGGCTTTGTGAGCCAAACTGGGCTGCGGTTCTACGCCGGGTTCCCCATTCGCGCTCCCGATAGCGCCGTAGTGGCGACGATCTGCGCGGCTGACTATAAGCCGCACAAGTACATTTCGGCCAAGCAGTACGTCGCCATGGAAGCACTGGCTGACTTGGCCGGGACGCTCCTGGTCACGCCGGATCTTGAGTTCAACACAGCAAAGCACAAGCGCCAAGCGGTTTCGAGGCAGCACGTGCGGAACCAGTAACGCAGATAGCAACGGGCGGGCGGGCGGCGACACTCCCGATGACAGACGCAGTGAACATATAAACAAACGTTGTAAATAGGATATGATGGACTACGTCTTGGCTGGGGTGTGTGTGTGTGTGTTTGACAGGCAAAGCGCCTTTCGAGCACAGTCGGTTGCGATACGATGCCACTGCAGTATGGAGATGTATGCCATACTCATTCACGATGAGAGGACTGCGTGGGTACAGAAGACGACAATGGCTGAGCCACTACCGTCGCATGTCCTCTCGCACGAACGACATCGAACCCACCACATTGACATGCACGCCCACCAGTTGATGACATTTCCTGTTGCTGCTTTTCGTGTCGGCGACACCATTGGCGCGCAATTATTACAACTGAAAGCACGGAAGACGCTCGACCGAATACTCGGTATTCAGCCGAACCACTGCCGGCGGCCAAGTCGCCTCGTACTTATCCGAGTTCCTCCAAGCGCCTCGTTTTCGTTGTCCGTGCCACATGATGTACATCGTGTATCGTCAACCTGTGCCCACCGGCAAGCGCTGTCCGCCAAGGCTTTCCGTGACCATCACTCTCATTCCGCATTCTGACGCAACATGTCCGCACTGCTGCGCTTCGCCGCATCGGCTCGTGTCCGCTGCCCGCTCGCTGCATGCAGCGCGTTGCCCGCGTCTGCGCGTGCGCCCACGCACCGTCACGAGGCGCCCACTGACCTTCCCAGCACCACGTCGTCGCTCCAGTACCGCTCGATCTCTCAGTCTGCTGTCTGCATGAAGCGCAAAGGCGGCGCGTCTGCGTTTGCGCCGAAACCCTCGCGCTGGAACTTCAGCAAAGGCAACAAGAGCCACACCGCACTAAGTACGAAACAGAAGTTGAAGAAAGATGCCGCGCCGCATCGATCGCCCGCCGAGCGCACGCGCGCCCTGAAGACAGCGCAGCGCGCGAACGACCGCAACGCGAGAGAGTGGGCAGCGCTCGAGCGCAACGACGAGCTGACGAAAGAGCTCGACGCGGTGTTTGAGTACCTGGACCAGTCGGGCCCGCACGGCGACTACGTGTACGAGCCGGCGCCGAGTCTCGTGGACGTGGACCACGTCGACGCGCTCGACAAACTCAACGCGATCGCCCGTGGCACGTTGCAAGCGCCAGGCAGCAACCCGACCGACGAGGCCGACGGCCCAGCGCCCGCACAGGACCTGGCGGTCGTCGACTATAACTTTCTCTTGCGCGTGTACGCAGTCAAAGGGCTCCACAAGGAAGCGAACGCGCTCTTGGCACGGATGGAGCGCAACTTGACGCCGCGGGCAGCCACAGCGGCCGTTGTTGTGCCGGTCGAGCCGACCGACGGGACAGAGCTGGCGCTGCTGACCGCGCTCGAGGCCGTGCCGCACGCTGTCGCGCCGGACGCCAAGTCGTACATGTTGTACGCGACAGCGCTCGGCGCGAGCGGCCAAGCAGCGCATGCTGTGCGCGTGATTGGCCGCATGAAAGAGCGCGGCGTGATGCCGAACGTGGCAGTGTACAATGCCGTGATGCGCGTGTGTGCGAGAGCAGGACGCGTGCCCTGGGCCTACACGGTCATGGAGAAGATGCAAGTCGCTGGCTTCGTGCCGGACCGCGCGTCGTTTACGATCTTGATGAACGCAGCGATCGCGGAAGGGGACCTGGACAAGGCGTTTGAGACGTTCCACTTGATGCGGACGCACGTGGCCGAGCCCGATGAAGTGGCGTTTAGCTGTTTGATCCACGGCTTTGCCCGAGAAGGACGGGTCGAGCGGGCGCTGAATTTGCTGGAAGATTTGCTCTCGTGCGGCCTCACGCCGTCGCTCGTGACGTTCAATGCGCTCATGAACGCGTGCGCCAAGTCGCACTACTACGCCCACAAAGCGATCGACTTTTACTATGAGATGCAAGAGCTGTACGACTATACGCCGGACTTGTACTCGTACGGGACAGTGCTGCACGCGTGCGCGAAGAATGGGGACTTTATCCAGGCCGAGCAGATTCTCCGGCACATGGACCGCCACCACGTTCCTATGACGGAGTATGTGTACAGCACGTTGTTCAATGTCTACGCTCGCGCTCAAATTAGGACGATTGTGGACAAGGCCCCGCGCAATGCAAAGGCTTTGGCCAAGCCCGAGCCGGTGTACCAGGAGCCTCTCGAGTGGGACGATGAGGGCAAAGAAGTGGATTTGACGCGTCCAGGCAAGGAAACGTTTTCGCTCGAGAACGCCAACTACGACGGGAGTTTTGACGATGGTGATGGAGACGAAGACGAAGAAGTCGAGGCGTACAAGCTGAGTCCTGAGGCTTTGGCTCAAGTGGAGGAAATGCGTCAGCAGGATCACGCCGATCGCAACGTGCAGAAAAAGACGACGGAGTCGACAGAAGTGGTCAGAGTTGAGCAGACGATGGAAGTTTACGGCGAGCAAGACCGTTTGCTTTTCGCTGACAGCGAGGAGTCGCATAATTTTGAGCTGACGCCAATGGATCTGACAAACTTTGGCAAGTACCAGACGCTCAATATCAAGCGTGCGGAAGCCCGCTTTCACGAGATGACCTTTGACAACGGCCTCCAGCCATCTCTGGTCACGCTGAACTCGATGCTTGCCGTGTACTCGAACGCGCTGCGTCTGCGCTCAGCAGAGACGTTTATGAACGAGACGTATACGAAGTTTGGTTGTCGACCCAACAAATTCACGTACCGATCCATGATGCAAATGTACGTCCGTGCGAAGCGAACGACGCAGGCTGAACAACTACTCGAGCGTGTACGAAGTGAGATTGAGGACGGCGATCTGGAGGCCGATGCAGTGACGTTTGGTATCTTGGTGGATCACTACGCTAGAAAGGGTCTCGTACGACGCGCGCTGGCGACTCTCGAGGACGCTGACGCTCTAGGACTGCAAATGCAAGAGAAGCATCTGAAGAAGATTCGTGTGTTGACGGAGAAGTATGGAGTTTTCTCTGACCTCATTCCAGAGGACCCGGACGCTGTGCTGCTTGCTGGTTCGCGTCACAAATTGATGGCGAAGCGCAAGGTCCGTGCGCAAGCGTTGGAGTATACGCGCAAGGTTGGGAAACGCTATTTGTTGCCGGAAAGGAATTAGACGCCAACGGGTATGATACGAACGGAAACACAGACGGTGGTGAGACGGATGTACATTGCAACATGCGGAAGGCGATAGTCGGATAGTAACGCAGCGCACGAGTTGGCTTGTAAATGATCATAGACAGTGGCACGTTACCTCATGACGCGAAATCGACGCTTTCGATAGATGTGGTAAAGTGGCACGTGAGAGTCATTCGGCGCACGCGAAGCACCACTGCAAAGGCATCAGTTGCCTTCGTCGTCGTGACTCTTTTGTCCACGTACAAAATGGCATTGAGCGATCGGCTCACTTCTAGGGATAGCCAATCCGTCCGCCAGAGACCATCCACCTGCAAAAACGACAGCGAATGGCCTCTGTGCCAAGTAGTTGTCCGTTCACAGCACCTTCATATAGCTGCTTCCTTGTACCCAAATTACGCGTTCTATCCGCACATATGCTGCGATAAGCTTTTGGACCACCGCGAGGCAGGTCCTGTGTTGAAAACGCAAGTCGGGCGGCGCTTCTTTCGTATCGGCAGTGGACTCGTGATAGATAGGGCGCGCGGTATTCGCTTGCCGGATAGATGCATCACGCTGAGACGCTATCACCAGCTCGTTCATGGACTCCTCTATTCGACCATAATGAGTTCTTCCATTAGGCGCTATTCTCATTACTTCCGACGTAAACTACGGGATGCACGTACCTGTTTAGTTTGTCCGCATCTTTTGGTATTTTGGTCCTGTCAATGCCCACTTTTGGCAAAGGATGCAACACATCACAATACCACGTTGTAAAAGGCTACAGTGGTAATCTTTCGGACGGATAGTACGCTCTCCATGGCGTGCACGGCGTCCTCTTTTTCGACCAAATCTGCGCAACTGAGAGCAGTTGGCGACCGGATCGACGATGGCGTTGGGTCACTCGGTACTGTTCGTTACGTAGGTCCCGTACCGACCGCAACCGATCCATCGACGCTGTATTACGGTACTTATTGCATATAAACAGTCGTCCAGAGCTGTATTTAATGGCGGTACAAAAGTGTGCTCAGGATGTACCCATTTCTGTCTTGTCATAGGCATCGAATGGGACGAGTGGGGTCGAGGCAAACATGACGGTAGTGTCGACCTGCCCAATGGCGATCGGGTCGTGGTCTTTGCAGGTCCATCTGGTCGTCGCGAAAGCCGTGCAGGTCACGGGGATCCAGTAGGTGCTCCAATCTACAAATGCTCATTTGTCAAGGTGTCAAAAGTCGACGGCATGCCCCTATCGAGCACTGTGGTCCAGAGACTGCAGGAGAGATACAGTGCAGAGGGCAGTTGCTTCGATGTTCGCGATACAGACGTCGATGTCGTCGTGACTGGAGAAGTGAAGACGACGCTTGGTAGTGAGAAGCCCATTGAGTTTGTAGGAGCCAAGAAACTTCGTACTCAGCAGACGTTAAAGACGATCGAGAAAGTCTCGCTGTCGGGATGTCAAATCGCTGAGCTCGGCATTGGGACGCCAGGCGAGAGTCTTCGAACGATGACTCCGAGGCTGACCGAGCTAGACCTGTCGAAGAACCTGTTTCGAACGTGGACTGATGTTGTCGCTGTTGTCCGTGAGCTGCCGTTTCTGGAGACACTGATTCTCAGTGGAAACCGATTTGCGTTTGATGAGGAGGACGTAGCTGAAGATGACAGCAATGTTTTCGAAAGCGTCAAAGTGCTCGTGCTAAATCAGACACTGCTGCGTTGGCACCAGGTAGGGAAGCTAGTATCGCGCCATTTCCCAAAGCTTGAAGAGCTGCACGTGGTTGGCAACGAGTACGACGACGATCAGTTGAGCGTGTTCGAGGCAAGTGGAAGCTGGACGAAGACGCTTGCGGTCCTCGATCTGAGCCTCAATCACTTTGCCTCGTGGAATCGACTTGTTTGTACCGTCGGCGTGATGTTCGAGAACCTGAGTCAGCTGGTTTTGAATGGGAATCGCATCGCTACGCTCGTCACTGACAGCAGCAACTCCGCCGCGGGGTTCCAGAAACTAACGACGCTATCGCTGAGTGACAATCTGGTGAACTCGTGGACCTCTATCGATAGTTTGAACGCGTTTCCGCTTTTGGACACACTGCGATTTTCAAAGAACCCACTGACGTCGCAGATGAGCCCGGGTGAGGCCCGGATGCTCATTATCGCACGTACAGACCATGTTGTGGCCTTCAATGCAAGCCTTGTTCGAGAAAAAGAACGCGCAGAAGCTGAGCGATTGTATTTGAAGCGCATACTGCATGAACTGGCCGTCGTCGCCGATGATGCGTGTGAGTGTGAACGGGTGCTGGCCGCACATCCGCGCTACAATCGCCTGCGAGAACTGCATCCAGACATATCCATTGAGCAAAACGACAGCGCCAACGGCTGTGGATCAACGGCTGGGCCGCGCAAACTGGCGTCAAGCTTAGTCAAAGTCAGCATCATCCCAATGTCAATGCGAGCGACATCACTTCAGCCGCTGGTGAAGAACATTCCTCAGCAGATGAAGGTATCACAGCTAAAGCTACTCATTGAGGCTAAGTTTGGTGTTGAAGTACCTGTTCAGGTGCTATCGTTTCGCACCGATCCAAGAGTAAGTTTGTACTGCATTGATGCTATGGCGTTACGCTGACACACTCACACACTGTTTGTTGTTGCACTATAGAGTCTGCCAATGGTGCTCGACGACGACAGCGCTGAAGTCAGTTACTTCGGGATACAGGTATGACAACGTGCTCGTTGCTGCATTGCGTTATCTTACCGCTTCTCTCTCGTTTGTTTGTATGGTCTAGGACGGGTCTGAGGTGCTAGTCAATGACTCGGAATGATTGCACGCAAACCATTGTTGATATTGGCACATGCTGAGGGTTTCCAAATGCGACTAAATGTTTACTCAACGCGCGACTTTCTTTGCTATTTTGTTTCACGAATGTTTGGCTCCAGATGCATCAAGAACGGCTCATCGGCGCCAGATAAAGTCGGGTGTGGCCGACTCGTTCCTTCGTGTTGTGGAAGTCAGAGTCACCCGACAGCCTTTGCAATGGTAGGATGGCACATCCGCGTGGCTATAGGGTATGTACAACGTACAGTGTTACGTAACCGACGACTTCAACCTGTATTGGGGTGAGGTCAGCAGTAGCCCTTATCTTAACGAGTGTGTATTGAAAGTCGATACTGTTGCTCGATTCAACCTGACAACGTGCTAAGCAAACGCCCATTTGCTGAGGTGGGTGAACTCCTTCCAATCAAAACTTGTTGGGTGCACCAACCGGACGGCGTATTTGGTCAGCTGTTACTGCTTCGGCTGCACCGATACGACTGGCTCTCGATTATCTCTCAGATCTACAGCAGTTCCTCACTGGATGTCCTTGCCTTCATGCTTTGGTAATCCATCAGCACAGTGTCTTGCACGAGACACAGAGGGAAAGCATATCGATCTAACATGGGTACTGGCACCCCCTGCTTTGCCTTTTTTACCTATAACGCGGCGTCGTTTTGGGTCCGTTTGCTTTTGTTGCAATGCCTATTTGCTGACGCTTCAATGTATGATCTTTATTTCTGCAGAAGTAGGCTGAGAGGTAAGAAATCGACGGAAGAAGAGACGGGAAAGGTGATGGTCTTCCGTGAGACCAAATTGAGTCATTGAGAAATTGTTTGACGCACGGGTCGCTCTCGAGGCGTCGCTGAACACTTTTTGAGTGGCACTGTCGCCTAAGTGCGTACGGACCAGCCGGAAGATCACCGTTTTCGACTAAAACGGCTCACCGCCAACTGCTTCGTGCCGCTCAGGGGGGGTAAATTATCTGCACGGTAGGTCCATGCGCAATTGAACAACCTGTACGCGTTTATAGAGTCGAGCAGCTCATAAACGAAAGCCTTACGCCCAAGTTTCTCAAGCGTTACTATACATTAGTGCTTACTGTAACGGGGCAGCCCGTTACATGATATTGTCACTTAAGGAAAGTGACAATAAAGAATATAAGATGGATATTCTTTAAACAATATCACCAAAGTGGTGATATTGAAGGGTCGACCAAAGGGTCTGTTCATTGGTTGATATCGTGATGATATCAACCCACCAATCGCCGCAAGACGCGCGCAATGAGTGGTGACGAGACGTCACCATACACTCAGTTATATTAGTATAATTAAGTTAAGTCAAACGAAGAGACAGTAGTTATAGACTTAATTTATTAATATAACAGTTCTACTTTACCCTACCTACGCTTCCTCGCTCGCCACGTGTACGTCCGTCGGGGCACCCAAATCCCTTGCGTTAAGTTACGCAAGGGTGTGCCCCGTTACACCTGGTAGCACTTTGTAGTCCTTCCAAGGACCACATCATCCAACATGAACATGTTGGATGAAGAAGACACCTTTCACGCCACGCGTGAAGGGTTTACCCATTTGAGTGACATTGAATGGGGTGCGGTAGAACGAATGAGTTCTACCGTAGGCGAACTCGTCGTCAGCACCATGTTGGAGTCTCTAGACAGAGACCAACAACATGCTGCTATCGCCAAGTTCATTCACAATGAACTTGTCGCCGAAAGGGGAGAAAGTAGCCTTGCTTCAACAGCAAGGCTCTCAACAGGCCGAGCACTTGAAAGAACCCGGTGCTCAACAGACAGAGCTGTTGAGACAGCAGCAATTCCATGCTGCTGTGGGCGGGACGGCACATGCGCGTCGTCCCGAAGTGATGAAAGTCGACATCTCCAAGTACAGTGGAGTCCCGGAGGACTCCCTGTTACTATGGTTTGTCGAACTCGACAGAGCCCTAAGGTCTCGTCGCGTCGAAGATGAGCAAATGAAACTCACATTTGCTCAGACCCACTTGGCAGGGCGTGCCAAAACTTGGTCCCTGGGACTCGAGAGTAGCGACCCAAATGTGTTTAGGTCGCTAGATGACTTCAAGTCCCGGCTCAGACAAACGTTTGAGCCGCCACGTGCTGAGTTCAGGGCTCGTTCAGAGCTCCTGAAACTCAAGCAGGGTAAGCGTGATGTGCACGCTTACGCACAACATATACGACTCCTTGCGAGTAGTATAACTGCAAACCCAGTCCATGAACACACGTTGATTACGGTATTCATGCAAGGGCTCGCAGAAGGGCCCGTCAGGAGCCACCAGTTCCGCCTTGAGCTGAATACGCTGGAAGATGCGATATCAGCCGCGGAACAGGAAGATTTTAGCATGAGACATACTCATGCTAGCTCAAACTCTTACCGTCCACCGAGACGACAAGCGATCGGAGGTCCAGAACCAATGGACCTCTGTTATGTTGAGAGCGAGAGACCTCGCTCTACAAGCAACAAGCGATTGCAGAGGTGCAATCGCTGTCAGAAGTTAGGGCACTACGCATACGAGTGTAGTGCTCCGCGCCCAGTACCAAACAGTACTGAGCGAAATGGACGACCATTCACCAAGAAGGGCAATGGGCGTGGGTCCAGCGCTGTTGAGAAACCGCAACAGCGAGACGGGCCATCAAAAAATGGTCGGGGTCAGTAGGGGCGGAGCGCCCTACTGATCCAGCAACCTCAAGAGAATTTGCAAACCTCTTGACGAAAGTTGCTCCAGATACACAATCATTGTGTGTCTCTGCACCTGGTGATGACGTTTCGCTCATCACCTTGAAGTTGGAAGCGACAAATGACTTGTCACTTCGTGCCCTAGTAGACTGTGGGGCGTCGAACAACTTTGTTCGTCGCCAGTCACTAGAGGGTCGTAGGCTCAAGTTCGTTGAGCGCGACATTCCCCCTCACAAGGATGACGGTGCGCCTTGCAACAGGCGCATCGATAACCGTTGAGAAACGTGTAGTAGGAATCCACTACACGTTAGAGGGCGAGCAGTACGATGATGACTTCATCGTACTAGATCTGGATGACAAATTTGATGTCATCCTGGGATTACCTTGGCTCAGAAAATACGAGCCAAGGGTGAGCTGGCAGCATCGATCCGTGAAGATGCCTGCTGCTTGTTCATCAGATGGCCATCTGATGAACATCTTGGAGCGTCCACAAGCGTGTGGATGTTCTGCGAGTGAGTGCGATGGCCTCACTTGCGGTACGGTCGTTAGCACGACTGCACAAGGTCACAGTGTAGTTGATCACTACACTGTGGAGCAAGCTCCCGGCGGCTGTACAGAAGTACAGGCTGCGCCGAAGGTCCACCACTCGAATAAGTCGAGTGGACCGGGACATGGATGCATGCCTAGCGGGCAGCATCTTAGAAGAAAGAAATCTGTTGCCCCCAAGGGGCAACATGAAAATTTAGGTCGACTGGAGAGTCGACCGTAGAGGATCGGTTCCTGACTGTGGTTGCACAGCCACAGTCGGAAGACGTCGAGGGAATAAGTCCCCACGTACTTGAGGAAGGAGTTCCTCAAGAGTTGCTTGCTGAGGGATCAGGCCCTCAGCAACCTGTGGAAGCAAGATCCCAGGAAGAAACCGAGACGTTGAACGTCTTGGTTAATGACGGATCAAGCGTAGGCATTTATACGCTTGATCTGATTGTGTCTCCGAAGTTGACTTCGGAGATAACTCAGTTGCCAACGCTAGAACCGAAACGGTTCTTGCGTGATCTGCGTAGTGGCAAAGTCAAGCAGATCTGCGTACTCGTCACAGAGGACGAGTATGTGACCGACATTCGGTCGGCAACAGTATTTGCTGAGAACGAACGGGTTCTCAGCAGCTCATCGATGGACGAAAGTGTCCTCGATGAGAAGACTCGGATTGAGCGATACGCGTCCCAATCCTGGGAGTCACTTCAGGCAAATCCTTTGTATAAGGATTTGATCGAATTCAGGGATGTGTTCCCTGAATCCGTACCTTGCGAGTTGCCTAATGGACAAAGGCACTCGACACGAGATCGAGCTCAAACCGGGCTCGAAATACTGTGTCATGAAGCAGTGGCCACTGCCTCGTGAACAAGTGATAGCGATCGACAAGTTCTTTGCCGATCGCTTAGCAGCAGGCCATGTGAGGGAATCAACATCCCCTCACAGCTCTCCGACCTTCTGTGTGCGAAAGGCCACAGGAGGGTGGCGGATAGTGCACGCATTCAACAAGTTGAATGCTGCAACGGTACCGGCTCAGACGCCGATACCGAGGAAGGACGTAATCATAGATGGTATGTCAAAGAGTACCATCTTTTCGTCCATGGATCTGATGGATGGATTCTATCAGATCCTGATGCGTGAACGTTGAATCCCATTCACGGCAGTGAGCACCCCCAGCGGGATGCTGTGGGAGTGGCTAGTGATGCCACAGGGGCTGAGTAATGCCCCTGCAACATTCAACAGATGTGTAACAAATCTGTTGAGACCGGTGCGGGACTTCGCACCGAGTTACTTCGACGATGTGTTCGTCCATAGCCGGGCTATGGACGGAAAGACGGACGTTGAAGTTCACAGAACTCAAGTTCGTCAGGTTCTCCAACTTATGCGCAAGCATAAGTTGTACGCCAACCTCAAGAAGTGTATATTCGCGGCTAGCGAAATACCACTTCTTGGGTGCATCGTGGGGAAACACGGCGTACGCCCTGATCCCGAAAAGATCAAGGCGATCACCGACTGGCCAGTGCCAGTCGATGTCAAGGGACTTCGAAAGTTCCTTGGTCTTGCGGCGTACTTGCACAAGTACTCGCGCAACTACGCCGAGATGACGGTACATCTTTCTTGCTTGCTCAAGAAAAATGTCAAGTGGTCATGGAACGCTGAGTGCCAGCGTTCCTTTGAAGGTATCAAGCAAAGCTGGATGCAATCGCCGATCTTGGCGATTGCAGATCAGGACAGACCATTTCATGTGGTCTGTGACGCCAGCGATTTCGCA